CAGGTGGAAAAAATTGACCTGTGAACAGGTAACGACCTGTGACAGGTAGAACCTTTGACAGGTCAGACCTGTGACAGGCGAAAAAAATTGACCTGTGAACAGGTAACGACCTGTGACAGACAGAAACTTTGACAGGTCAGACCTGTGACAGTCAAAAAAAAATTGACCTGTGAACAGGTAACGGCCTGTGACAGGCAGAACCTTTGACAGGTCAGACCTGTGACAGGCGAAAAAAATTGACCTGTGAACAGGTAACGGCCTGTGACAGGTAGAACCTTTGACAGGTCAGACCTGTGATAGGCGAAAAAATTTGACCTGTGAACAGGTAACGGCCTGTGACAGGTGGGCTGTTTTTGTTGACCTGTGACAGATCGCAACTCTGGTTGAGAATTTTGTTTAAAGTGCCAGAAAATTTTAAATATTTTCAGATTAAAAACTGGAAAAATTCGAGTCAAAATATTCCAGGATTATCTTATTTATTGATTTTGAATCTTGAGAAATCCCCTAAATTGAATTCAAAAGTTAACGGCTTTAAAAATTTTGAATCTTCTTAAAATTTGATATAAATATTTAAAATGGCGGATCAAACACATGTGTTTTCCTCACTTCAAAAAGTTTTTCTCGATTTTTGAGCTCAAACCAAGCTTATATTAATGAATTTAGATGTTATAAGCATCTATGCAATGGCAAGAGTCATTACTTATTGAAATATGCTTAATTTCAAAGTGAAAAATAATTAAAAACTCAATTTTTCTTCAAAAAAAATCCGAATGAAATACAAATTCTATAATTTTGACTACAAGCAATCAAAATTTTAGTATCTACAGCTTAAAAGATCTCGAATCTCACGAATTAATACGCTAGCAACTATTCAACAAAACATAAAAACAATCTCGGGTACGAGGAATAATTTATAATTCAAAAGCAATGAGTCACGATTCATCGAAAGCATAAAAAAACATTTCATTTCATTTCAAAATCCTCTTTAATTTATTGAATCGTTAAAAAAAATCTTGAATCGAAAATATTTTTTTTATCTGTAAATTAAAAAGAACAGAAAGACGAGAGAAAAAAGGACGAATTAATTATTTCCATTTTATCTGCTTCCCCTTCAAAGCATTTTTATGATGATGATTGTGTTCATTTTCTCACACAAACAGTCTCTCGGCGTGTCTATGACAATAAATTCGATATCTGTGACATTATCCAGACCGAACATCAAAAGGCTATCATCAAAAACATGTCGTGATAGTTTTTAGTTCTTCTTTACTCAACCCCATGCATTCATTTATTAAATGTTAAGCTCAAAGACATAAAAAACTGTTTATCACATAGACGAGAGTTTAACATGATTTGTAAGGGATTATTGCGGGAATTTTTGTATTTTTCAATCTTTTTAAGGCAACCAAATGTCGAAAAAAGATGACAATATTTATCTCAAATAGCCCATCAGCTATGCTTGACGAACAATTAACATATTTTAAAAGATTTTAATATTTTGTTGGAAATTGAATTTTAAATCGGATTGGAAAGGATGTTGTTGACTTGATTTGAATATTTTAAAGAAATACTTCCTCTTACTGCCTTTGACTGATGTATTTTTCTGCAGAACATATTAAAAAATTTACTTTTTTATTTTAAATTTATTTATTTTAATTTTTTATGAAAAATTACAAAATTTACTGCAAAAATAGTGAAACTGCAAAAATAGTGAAACTGCAAAAATAGTAAAAATTGAAAATTTCACCAAAAAAAGTACCGCTGCGAGTAGGATTCGAACCTACGCGGGTAGAACCCAATTGATTTCAAGTCAATCTCCTTAACCACTCGGACATCGCAGCATTACAGAACCGTACATTTTGTATGGATCACAACATGAAGTAATAGCTGCTAAACGACATTCTGTTTCTTGTGAAAAATTATATTTGTTATGATTTGTGCCACTTTTGGATTAATTTTGATTATTTTTCATATTTTTGAGAGGAATTGATTGAGAAATTTGATTTCTTTCATTTAATTTTTAATATTGAGCGTTTTTTTCTGCTGACGGTGCACAACGAACTTTTAAAATTCAAATCTTAGCTGCTTTTCTATTAAAACACGTGAATTTTATAATCACATTAAAACTGCATTTACTGCTTATTAGATGCAAAAAAAATGCATTCTTCAAGTTTTCAACCATAAAACATCAATCTACATCCTCAAAAAATGCACCTGCAACACGGAAAATTAAAATAACATGGAAAATGAAATCCAATAAGAATCCTTCCTCGTCCTTTTAAATTGCACCAGGACGAACAAAAAAGAAGCAAAAAAGAATATTCGCTCCTGGGTGGGATCGAACCACCAACCTTTCGGTTAACAGCCGAACGCGCTAACCAATTGCGCCACAGAAGCTGATTTTTGTTGAGTACGCTGCACACAAAGTACATTTATTTGTAAAGTCAAAAGGTTAAGTTATTAAATTTTTAAATTTAAAGCAAAATTATTGTGAATAGGTTCTGAGAAAGTTAAGTGATGATTTAATATTAAAGTTGTAGAGGTATTTGTTGTTGCTTTTTTTGGGGGGTTGATTTGTCTACATTTATTTCATCTGGAGAGCATGTGAGGACCACTTTAAATGTTGATGTGTCCAAAATCATTTGGGTATTAAGCATGTATAGCTAGGGCAGTCATTGGAAGGAATTTCTAAGAGTTTTGCAATTTATGCATCAACATATTCAAGCATATTAAAGGTATCCTGGAAAGACTAATCTCAAACATCTCTCGTCTTCTTTCTCTAAATAGATAAAGATAAAATTAATTCTAAAATTGAACTATTAATTTTATAAAATCAGGACATCCACCCCTAAAACAAACTGCTCAATAAATTTCAAAAACTGTCAAACTAACGAAACATTTTCGTTAAACATTTCATTTCTTAAGACATTTTTCAGTTTTTAAACGTTTCACTTTTCATTCCATATTTTTTCAATCAACATATATTTTAAAGACTTACTCTCTTTTTTAGAAAAAGAGAACGACCTTGCCAACTCTCTCATGTGTCCCAGTTTAAATTTGTTTCAGATTCCAGTAGAAAGTGAAATTGTTGTTGTGAGATTGAAATGGAAAATGGATTTCAAATTCAGGTTTGGTTCTTGAAAAGAGAAATGCGGGCATTTTGTGGGTAACAACTTTGGACGATAGAGTCAGCTTCAACCGAATATTAAGAACAAAAGAAGAAGGTTTACAGTCAACATGTAAGTAAAAGTCTTAAATGATACTAAACTAACCCCCAAATAAAGATAGAGTAAATTCACAAAATCTTCAAGCACATCTTCCTTCCAAAAAAGCCAATTATTTATTTTCATCATCATTTGTCTCCAAACAATCGCAAAAACAATTCAGATCAGATCCACAATAATTACATTCCCATCCACAAATCACATCAAGTTCAAAAATAAAATCAATAATGATTTAATTAAATTTCAACAGAAATAAAAAAATTTCAACTTAATTTTAATTTCCGTTCGCAAACCGAAATCGTTTCATCCCCAAGAGGCAAAAAATTCAATTGTGTTTCGCAATATCTTCATTTTCATTTGTGAAACGAGACTCATTTACAGAATGAAATCTCAAAAGTACCTCCGAGCTATTATTCCTCATACCATTCATTTCGAATCATTCGTTTCCTTCATTATTTTAATCATCCTTAATGTGAGGAATTGTAAGATGTAAAAGGAGCTTAAATACCCGTCGATATCATTATTCATTCTCGATTCTTTCTGGTTTTGTGTCTGAAAATCATCGGAGGATGTAAAATGAATCAAATTTTTTTTGCTGCAGAATTATTTAAAACGAGAACAAAGCAACTGAACCCCTCGAAGGATTTCACATAAGTATGATAATAGTTTATGATTCAGGGATAACTAATAAAACGTGTCAAAATTGAGGAAGGGTCAATTTTTAACTTAATCTTTGAGAAAAATGGGACTTAATATTATGTCTGACAGACAGACTAAACTAAAGTGAACTGAATTGAACTGAATTGAACTGAATTGAACTTAATTTAACTGAATTGAACTTAATTTAACTGAATTGAACTAAATTGAACTGAATTGAACTGAATTGAACTTAATTGAACTGAACTGAATTAAATTGAACTGAATTGAACTATTTAAACTGAATTGAACTGAATTGAACTAAATTGAACTGAATTGAACTGAATTGAACTGAATTGAACTGAATTGAACTGAACTGAGATGAATTGGACTGAATTGAACTCAATTGAACTGAATTGAACTGAATTCAACTGAATTGAACTGAATTGAACTAAATTGAACTGAATTGAACTGAATTGGACTGAATTGAACTGAATTGAACTGAATTGAACTGAATTGAACTGAATTGAACTCAATTGAACTGAATTGAACTGAATTGAACTGAATTGAACTGAATTGAACTGAATTGAACTGAATTGAATTGAACTGAATTGAAATAAGAAATTGATAAATACACATCAAAGTTCATATTTGAAAAATACTAATTCCTGCAACAAAAAATCGCTTTTGTCTCAACATAAAATAAAACTCTAACTTACTTTCCACTTGAGATAAATTAAATTTCCGTTATTTATAAAAATGCAATTTAATTCAACGCTTTAAAGTGATTTTGACAGATATCTGATGGTACAGACAATGAATGATGGCATGGTGCATTAAATGTGATGTGAATTCTAAACATCCTTTCGCCATGCTTCCTAATTGGGAGCGGTGGATTAAATTATTTATGAAATTTTAGATTCTTTTATCAGATGGTCATGAATGGTTTGCTTTAGAAATTTGATTATGGATGGTAGCTACTGGTTAGGGGAATTGAGAAAGGATTTTTAAATTCTGAATAATTCTTTTATTTTGATGACAACTTGTAATCAACATTTAGGGACTTGATTTCATTAAAACAAGCTAAGTTCTTCTTAAATTTTAATTTTTTTTATTAAAACTTTTTCCTTCACTTTTTTTCTATTTTCCAATACTGCAGCCATAACATCCTGAATTATCACAATAACATCCACCATTTGATCCTCGACCACCTCCTTGTGATCCACCATTGCTGCCATACCCTCCGTTTCCTCTATTGTCTCCATAACCTCCATTATCATAATTATATCTTTGAGTTGTTGTTCGCCAGTTTCGATTGCTGTTGCCGTTACCATAGCCAGAATCTGGTCCAATTTCGCAGTTGTTACATACTCTGTAATTGATTTTTGAACAGTTTTTAAAATTTATTATATTTTACAATCTGAAACCAAGCAATTCTGATTTGATTGTAAGTAAGATAAACTTTTTTGTATAAATTATAATTCTAGTCTTATTATCAAGCTTGCCAATAAAATTCGGAATTTCAAAGCAATCCTCCAATAACTTACTGTGCATAAGCTAGAACACTAGCGAAATAAATAACGAGAAAAGCTAGTAAGATCCCTTTGGAGTTCATAATTGTTATTGATTAATTTTATGGGTTTTTACGCTACTTATATAGGTTTTTGAGAATATATGATTACATGATTGATTGACTTTAGGGATTATACACTAGATTTGAAATATGTCACAAATAGAAAATATTTTACTTTAGAAAGGAGAAATCAAGCAATTTTAAGACAAATAGTAAACCTAGTAAGGAAAAGTAAGCTTATTTGTCCTTTATTTTCATAATTATCTTTCAAAAATTTTATAAACCAGTGGTGTCCAACCTTTTTTATGCCACGGCACATTTGGTGGTAAGCCATGACCAAAACAGCATACAGCAAACGATTTGTGAGATATTCCAAATTTTTTACAGCACATTAGTGTTCCGCGGCAAACGGATAGGCCATCACTGGTATAGGACCATCCTAGTTAATTTAATTGATGTTTTCCATTTAAGAGCTATTCTTATGTCAACTACAATCTAGATGTCTCTCCAAACCATGAGAAATACATTTTATTTAAGAAAGTTTGTCCAAACTGGCCCCAAAGTCTAATCCTGCATGCACACACGTTTTGCATCAAAATTTCAATCGTCATTCACTTTTATAGGGAAAACCCTAGTTTGATAATTTATTTCGCTTTACTACTTAATTAAATAACATTTAATGACTTCGTGACCTAAGGAGCTACTTCTGTACATGTTAAATAACAAACATCAATAAAAATTATTTTTGAAGTAAAATTTACAAATAAATGATGAACTTTAAGGTATGCAATACGTAATCACAAAACTAAGTACGTATCAGCTTCAAAACTGGTGAAATAGTTCGGAAACTACAGGAATAAATTAATTATGAACATCTAGATTAAGTTCGTATATAAACTCAAGCAAATTCATGTCTCAATATAGTCAATTTAATCTACTCAGCAAGAGAAGAAAGCAACAATGAAAGACAACATTATTTCCTGGTTTATCTTCGGATACGCAATCTTAAACGCCATCGTTCTTGGAACTGAGGCTTGCAAATCTGGTGGTGGTGATAATCCAACATGTAACGACTGTGGTGTTGGAAAGTGATTATCAACTTACTACAATATATCAATATCAGAATGGCAAACTTGTTAGCTGCAGTCATTGGACATTTGAATTATTTTTTTGGTGGATTTTTTGGATAAATAAAATAAAATTTATTTTGTGAAAATTAAGATTTTTTTTGATATTTAATCCTCCCCACTTTTAAAATATCTATCAACCCTGCTAAGTTGTTCTGAACAATATATTTATTTTGATTTTTAATATGACATTCCTTGGGATTCTCCAAAAAAAATAAGGAACAATAACATTAAGCTTTTATAATCAACATGAATTTTGCTGCATTGCATTTTAAAACTAAAGTTTATAAACAAAAAAATTCAACTAATTTGTATGATTATAAGCTGGATCATATAAAAGCTAATCCAACTTGATAATCTTTTATAGTCAATTCAATCAAGTCTGTGAGAAAAGATCAAAAAAGTATTAAAAATGAATTCGAAAATCGTTTCGTGGATCATTTTCGCATACGGAACAGTTAACGCCATCATTCTTGGAACTGATGCATGCAAAACAGGCGGTCCAGCTAGCAATCCAAACTGTAACGACTGTGTTGGATAATTTCAGTGTCAATTGTTTAAGCTGCAGTCTCTGAATCACAATAAAGCAACTACATATATTTTTTGATGGATTTGATAGTCTGGTTACAGACGTGCGAGAAATTGACACATGACACCTCGTTTTTCGCATAAAAACTCAAATAAAATTGTATCACAATATTGTAATACTTCAAATATTTTTTTACGTTTTTTGATTCATTTATTTCAGGTTTTGTCTAGACCTATGTATTATTTTTTTGGCCATTAAAATAATTGTACGATAGAAAAGCTAATAAAATGAGATGACAATTATTTCAAAAATACATTTCCCAATTGATTTAAAAATTAAAAAAAAAACCCAGGACATGAATATACAATTTCATACCAAATGTATTATTCTTTGGGGCCGTTCACTTATTACGTAACGCTTTTAGGGGGGAGGGGGGTCTAAGATTTTGTTACGGTTCAAACAAAAGAATTTTTTTTTCATACAAATTTTGTTACGAGTGGGGGAGGGGTCTAAAAAGTAGTTTTTTCGCGTTACGTAATAAGTGAACGGCCCCTTTGTGATTCCTGTCTTCGCCGTATATAAAGACATCAAATTTCATACAGAATTGTCAGTAAGCATCATGAGTTCTAAAATAATTTTACTAATTTCTCTCATCGTCTGTATCGCTAGTGTTCTAGCAAAACCACAGTAAGTTCCTTAATAATTTTTGAAGAACTAAGTTTTGATATTTTTATTAATATTTTTATCTGTAGACAATTCAATCGAGGCTATGATCCTCAGAGTTATCAAAGTTCAGGATATCAAACTGATAGACGATATGGAAGTGTTTATCCTGTAGGAACTGGATATAATTACATTAATCGAGAAAATGAAAGATATAAACCATTTGATAGCCAAGAAAGATGTGGCAACTATGGTAATAATGATGGCTGGATATCTGGAAACCGGAGAGTAGAAGAAAGAAATAGATTCTCAAGACCAAATCAAAAATATGATGATAGTAGAGAAGAATTGACAGTTTCGCTACCTCCATGGCGTTCAAATAATCCCTATGAAGGCAACTCTGACGAAAGTCATGGAAATCAAAGATGGTAGTAAGAGTTGATCACATGGCAATGATTTCTACCATTTTCTTTGTTAAAATGAAAAACTATTAAAAATGCTTTTAAGTAATTTGTCTTAGAAATCTGAAAAAGCAAAATAAAGCATGAAGAATGCAAAAAATAATATTTGTTTATTTACTCAAATTTTCAAAGAATTGTCCAATTTTCCTGAAATAGTTTGGAAATAATTTTGTTATTAATGATGTCAACAATAAATTGATTTTAATATTATAACAAATTTTAAACAAATAATCCACAAAACGTCCAAAATTCAATTTCAAAATTAGTTTTATTTAAAAAAAAATAAAATCACATTTTATTAAAAATTATTCCAATCAATTCCGAGTATTTATATTGGCTCAAACTTAAATCAATTTGCAAGCAGTTCATCAACATTAATTTAGCCGACTTGACATCTGTTGCCTGAAAAATAAAAAGTCAACAATTAAATGTTATTTCTTAAAAAATATCAAAAATAATCCTTACATGTCTGTGGACTCAATTCAACATCATCTCCAGTAACTGCTGCTGCAATAATGGCGCAAATCCATGCAAATGCAAGTGTAACAAATTGTCTGTCCATTTTTCAATTCTGTTTGTTGTTTATCAAAACTTATTAAGTGAATGATGATAGAAGTGAAAATTTTAAGTCTATTTATACTGAAAATCTGATTAAAAATGCAATTTGACGATCTTGTCAATCAAACGATTGGAAATTCCGAAAAATTGTTTATGAAAATGATAAAAAATGTAATTAAAAATTTGCATTTCTTTTTGCGACGTTAAGTTAGTAAAAATAGCTTAGTTTATTGCTTGTACACGTTGAAAGCACGTTGAGAATTATCAGGTTAAGATCCAGACTATTAAATGACGTTATTTAATGAAAATTATTGACGGGAATCACATTTGCAATGTCAAAGTTTTGTGATTAAAGGTTATTAATAAATAGGATTGTGAAACTTAAAGTTTATAGTTGAATTTTGTAGGTTAGAGAGTCAAATGTGTTCTGTTTGCATCCACAACTGATTGTAGACGATAAACCTTAGTTGTAGAAATCTTGGAAAATTCCAAAAGTGTCAAGAAATCCTTAATAGCTGCAAAAGCCCAAAATTATAAACCTATTTTCAATTCAAATTAAAAATCCCAATAAATGCAAAAAAATAATTAATTATACATTAACTGCTAAGTTATGTATGAATTCCCAGAATCACAACAACACCTGCAACAAATCTTATAAAAAGCCTCATTAATTCAACAACAATTTTTCATTCATTCATCGTAACTCATTGCATTTGATTGTAAAAAGCTTCGAGATGAAAATTGTAACTTTAACTTGTGTGATCTTTTTTGTAAGCTTCGTCAATGGATGCTTGTCGTCTAGGTAAATATTTTTGTCACTTTAAAGCAGTGATTTTCAAGTTGTTTTTTGACAATAATCGCCATTTTGAAGATTCCTTAAAATTTGTATTTTGTTAAAGTTTTATAAAATGGATTTATAAGAGCAGGGAAAAGATACAATTAAGCAGTAGACAGACAATTCAAAATAATAAAATTCAAACTCATAATTCTCATTTTCTCAGCTCAAAATCTAGCGATAAGCCAGTGTGCAACAATTGCAATGTAGGACCTCCATCAAATAACAACAACAGTGACGGTCCGATCTGTAATAATTGCAATGTCGGTCCACCATCAAGTTCAAACAGCAACAAAGGAGGCCCAATCTGTAATAACTGTGAAATCGGACCACCTTCAGGTCCTGACGATCCTTACAAAAGAGTAAAAAAGCCTGAATATGGACCAGATTGTGAATGTGTTGGCACAACTTGTTATCATTGTAATGTTGGGAAGTAAAGTTTAATAGTGGATGTGAACTGCTTTATCGACAGTTGGAACTGACTGAAGGGGAAATTTAAGAATCGATAAAATGAATTTTTGAATAAAATTAAATTTTATTTTTTTTTAAATTTAATATATTTAACATTAATCTTTTGCATGCATTTTTACCAACTTTCACTGCTTTTTCTGCTTCTTATTCTCAACTTTTTTTGACTTTCCAAAAATCTTTCTTAAAATCCACTTCAACACCAAATAATCAATATAAAAATTAACTAAAGCAATCAACAATAAAACAGCATAAACATCAATTGATCTAAACTCAAAGAAATTCAGTTCCAAACTTGCAGCCTTTAAATGTTGAGCACCTTTATGTCTATGAGCGTATTCTGTCCAGTAAACGACAGATTCTTGTGGTGTCATTGGACGGTCGTTGAATCTTTTTGAAATAATTTTGGCATTTTCGTAATATTTTGGATTATTGATGAGCTCATTTAAGGCATGATCGAGATTTTCTTCTGTAATATCATTAAAATAAATTTGCTGTCCATACTCTCGAGACACAGCTTTTGCCATGTTCATCTTTTGATCACCAAAAATTGGCAATCCAAGAACTGGAATTCCTTCTATTAATGCTTCTGTTGTTCCTAATAATCCACCATGAGTGATGAAAAGTTTAACATTTGGATGTGCCATAATATCACGTTGTGGTACCCAAGGGCTGATCATGACATTGTCAGGTTTATTCGGTAGATCTGCTGCTTCATATTTCCAAATTATTTTTTGCTTTAACTTCCCAAATGATCTGACAAAAGCTTCTCTTTTCTCAACTGGCCATTCTGAAGACTTAATTAGTGATCCCATGGAAAATACAATAGCACCTTCTGTTGCTGAGTCTAAATATTCCTGAATATCCTTTGGCAATGGCTTTGCTTGCTGGACGTGAATTCCACCAATTTCAACTAAATTTGGCAAATATGGACGGACTGTCGAGTAAGCAACATGAGTATTGAGGAAGTAAATTGCAGATTTCTTGTACACTTCATCGAATGTGCTCTTTGCATTTGGGAAATACTTGTTGTAAAGCTTTCTTTGGTTCGATTTGATGATAAATTCGTAAATTAGATCCTCGATGTGAGTATAAACTGTATTGGAAAGTCGCTGCTTGAAGTTCATCTTATCAGTATATTCGAGATATGGCTTCGGTACGTATGATGTTGGCGATAGACTAAAATGAAAGGAGAGATTAGAAAATAATGATAATCTGGTTGATTTCTGATGTAAATGTTTGTTATTCAATAATGATTTGGAACCGATAAGGGCTGAAGGAGATTACCATTTTACAAGTATTTACAATTCTAGGTTTACTTGAGATCCCAAATTTGAATAGTCGTTGCGTTCCAGAAAAATTCTTCTAATTTCCAGGATCCATCAGGAGACTCACAGTTCCAATATATTGAACCAATGGTGTTCCTATATCGCGCGGTCCAACCTTAACTCTTTAAAATTGATTCAAAGAACCCATTAATTTGATGACCTTGAGTCATGTAGTAAACAAATCGTAAAGCAAACACAACCACGTGCTATCAAAAAAGTCATGTGTGTAAATGTGTTCGTATGTATCTTGGTTCCAAAGTTCATTCAACTCAATTTTGTTAAGAATTGTGAAATTTATTATTTTTAACTTACTTTCCAGTCATATCATCCGCCCATTTAACAGCAGCATATGTCATGTAAGAAACAATCTCACAGCCAAAATGTTCAGCTACTCCAAGTGATACAGCATCAAAGTTGAAAACTTCAACCAGGCAAACATCAAACTTCTCATTTGAATTCAATAATTCAAGTATCTTTGGGTGTTTGACATGGAACTCCACAATTTCAGTTCCCATCCAATGAATGACGAAAACTTCTATTATTTTTGCTATAGCACCGCTGTTTTCGTACTTAAACATGTTTGCGGCATTTTCTGGTTTTGAGAATAAAAATTATTGGAGGATGATAATTAAGTTATGCTTTATACGCACAAAAATATGCTTGTGACTGTGTGAGAGGAACCAGATTTACGTAATATAAAAAACTTGTCGACTCACCTTTAAAGAAGACTTTAAGATAATCTTCAGTGCTGATGTCTTTATAGTTCTTAATTGGTTTCTTAACTGGATAAGGTGAGACTGCAGTCACCTCATGTCCAGCATCAGCCAAAGTCTTCGCTATCGAATGTCCGATGGCAAAGTGTGATTTACTTCCAAATGGAAGAAATGCCAGAATTTTTAATCCATCGATTCCAATTAAAATTGATAACACAGCGAAAAGCAATCCGACGATCTTCATGTTTTCTAATATACTGAAAATGTTTGTGCTATGTGCTTCTAATTTATTAGAATTTTATGGATTACGATCACATGTGTAGCTCATCAATACATAAGCAATTCACAAACACAGAAATAAATAAAAACAAGATTGTTTTCAAAAAACACAATCAAACCCGGCATTTTTTTATTGACTCTTCTTGCTATTGCGTCTGTTTACTTTCGTATTCACAGATGATTTTACTGGCAACAACAAGAACTTCATACATTTGTAAACAAGAAGCAAAACGGCAGCAATTGCCGATAAAATGACGAAATAAACATCAATCAGGTGTAATTGTAGGAAACTCATGTCATTAGCTGCAGACTTTAAATATTGAGCACCTCTGTTCCTAGCTGCGAACTCAGTCCAGTAAACTACCGACTGCTGAGGTGTCAGTGGACGATCTTTAAAGCGTGCTGCAAAATTCTTTGCATTTTTCATATATTTTGGATTGTTGAGAATCTCATTTAGTGCAACGGATAGGATTTTTTCGTTGATGTCTTCGTAGAGAATTTGAATGCTGCTGCCATGAGATGCGAATTTCGCTATGTTCATCTGTAAGAAATGGAATTGAGTTTTGATAACCAAGCTAAAGTTTGGGCGGAACTAGAAACTTTTAAAAAAAGCTATTCTTGTTCGCTAGAGACTCTTAAGCAGTAATACAGAAAGTTATGTTGTTTTCCTTTGCCTTAAAACTTACCATTTGATCACCATAGATAGGTATTCCCAAAACCGGAACGCCCTCATAAAAAGCTTCAGTTGTTCCTAATTTGCCACCATGACTGATGAACAACTTCACATTTGGATGTGCTAAAGCATCTCTCTGCGGTATCCATGGACTGATCATCACATTATCAGGCTTATTAGGCAGCGTGTCATTTTCGTACTTCCATAAAACTTTTAATTTTAATTTTTCAAAGGCTGTCACAAAAGCTTCACGTTTATGTTCTGGCCATTTGGATGCTTGGATGATTGATCCCATAGAAAATATGATAGCACCATCAGTAGCTGCATCTAGATATTCTTGAATATGTTTTGGAAGTGGTTTTGCAGGTCGAACATGAATTCCACCAACTTCAATCATGTTAGGCAAATATGGTCGCGGTGAGGAAGCACTGACATGATTGTTCATGAATATAATTGCAGAATTAGATCTTATCTCATCCAAGGATCTAAGAGCATCTGGAAAATATTTTTTGAAGAGCTTCTGCTGCTTTGGAAGGTGATCAAAATGATAAAGAAGCTTCTCTATGTTAAATGTCATCGCGTTGATTAATCGTTCTGTAAATGGCATTTTGTCGGTGTAGTCTAGGAATGGGTGGGGAACATATGATGCAGGCGATATGCTGGAATTAAAAAAAATATATAAATTTCATTCAAGGACTTTCAAACCATTGATCTATCGCACTTCCCAGCCATATCGTCAATCCAAGTAACAACAACAAACGTTGTATAAGTTATCAGCGTGCAGTTGAATTTATCGACCAAGCCCTGTAAGCAAGTAACAATGCAGCATGATAAAAATGCATTTTACAAACAAATTAGCTTTAATACCATCATCGCTTCCGTATTGAAGTTTTCAAGTATGCAAATATCAAATGATTCTCCTGACCTCATTAGCTTTTGTACATTTGGATGGCTTAGGTATGTATCAACTGTAACATCACCCATGGAATAGATGAACTTCATCATGTCGAATGGCGACATTTTTCTAAAGTCAAAGCCATCAAAGAGCTGATCTGAAATATTTTAGAAGGTATTGTAAGGGCACTAATAGTATTCTGGTGTGTTGAGTGCTTGTGCAATTCAAATCAAGCAACAGTCAGTACGACAGCATTCTCAAATGGGACAGTTTCTGTGCATTTCGAAGGATAATTGACGTTGTTGCCTACTTAGAATGCACCTCGAATAGCGCAAATCGGATAGCCGAGAAGAAATCCTAGGCTACGACGACTCGAGGACACGAATTTTCTCGGCATGACGAAAAATTCACCCCAAAGTTGCCGTGACGTCGTCCTGGCATAGGATTTCGTCTTGATAATCCGACTTATGTTACTCGGGCGTTACTTCAGAGAACAAGTTCAATTCCTTTCAGATTTTCCTTACCATTCTTGAACTTATCCAAAGTATCAGCTGTACTAATTTCACGAAAATTCTTCATTGGAAGCTTCCTCAAATAAGGTGTAACGACAGTTATCTCATGATTTCCTTCATGTAGTGTCTCCAAAATTGAGTTTCCTAATGTAAAATGCGAGTGACTGCCAAAAGAGAGAACAGCAAAAATTCTCAAACTATTCGACAACGAAAAAATTGAAAAAGCTGTTAAAGTAAAGAGAAGTTTAACAGTCATGTTGACTTTACTAGTCTCAGGAAAAAACTACAGCATGTATATTAGCTAACATCTTACTTATATAATACTGGTTGAGTATTTTACATTTAATAGAAAATGTTGTAATTGAGGGATCGTTTAGTTATTGCGTGACGCATAAACATATGTTTGGATGGATCATCTTCCTAAACACACATCAGACTCAGTACAACAGATCTAAGATCTTAGTGTCTTTTAATGTTCTACGGTCCCTAAACGATATAGACGGTCGGAGTCTCTACCCTCGGTAAGTCACTGAGATCGATCGGTTCCACACCCTTTGAATGAATCCCAATAGCCACAGTTTGAATTTACATATTACATATTTATAAACTATTGCTTGATTTAGACACGCAAATGTTAAATGTATCTTGCGAAAATTAAAATTGAATTAAGTACAATGAATTTCAAAATTATAAAAAATAAACTTCAGAATTTATTAATCAGACATTACTACATCACAAAAACTGAAGGTTAATCCTGACCTCCCTCAATTTGTTTTCTGTTTCTTTCCAGACTTTCCTGTCAACTTCTTAAAAGTGAATTTTAAAATCTTAAATTCAATGTAAATAGCCACAAGAAGAATGATAAGCATCAAGCCATAAACATCGAGTAAATGAAATTCAATTGCATTCAAGTCACATCCAGCTGATCTTAAGAATTGAGCACCTTTATGTCTTGCGACATATTCTGTCCAATAAACAATTTGCTGCTGTGGTGTCATAACTCGGTCATTGAACCTTTTTGCTACATCTTCTGCATTTTTCTTGTATTTTGGATTGTTGAGGATCTCTGTTAAGGCATTGAAAATCTCTTCTTCAGTTGCATCGTGGACATTCAGACTTAAGCCTCGTTCTTGAGCAATTGCATCAGCCATGTTCCTCTAGATAAAAACGCACAAAGTAAGGCATCAATTTTATAACAAGCATCACAAAGCTTACCCCTTGATCTCCATACATAGGCAGTCCAAGAATGGGAATTCCCTCAGAAACAGCTTCCATACTGCCTAAATAACCACCATGACTAATAAATAATTTGACATTTGGATGTGTCATTATGTCACGTTGTGGGATCCATGGACTAATCATCACATTGTCAGGCTTGTTACGCAATGTCTCATTCTCATATTTCCAAATAACTTTCTGCTTAATCCTTCCAAATGCTCTGACAAAAGCTTCACGAGTATTTTCTGGAAAATTCATAGCCTTGACTATTGAACCCATTGTAAAGACAACAGCACCGTCAGTTGCATTGTCCAAATAATCCTGAAGATCTTTCGGCAGTGGCTTGCTCTTTTTGATATGAATTCCACCAATTTCTGCTGTATTTGGTAATGAAGGCTGACCACCAGTCACACTAACATGACTGCTTGCAAACAGAAATGCTGGACATGAGATCATCTCATGCATTGACTTTTTGGCATCTGGGAAGTATTTTTTATAGATTTGATTATGCTTTGGAAGGGAATGGACATGAATAACAGTTTTTTCCAAAAGAGCATAAAGAGTGTTCCAGAATCGTTGACCGAAATTCATCTTCCCAGAATATGGAAGGAATGGCAGTGAGACGTATGATGTTGGTGATTGACTTGAAAGAGAAGATTTAATTTTGGGAATTTAAGGTTTTTGGTTATATTTACTTTGATGTTAGAAAATCAGCCCATTGGATGACAGTTGAACTTGTATATGGCACATAGGTGCAATCAAAATGATCAAAGAGGCCCTAAAAAGTAGAAATTAAAGAGTGGCTATTAATCCCATTTTTTGTAGAATCATTGTTCGTGAATGCTTCTTTATCAAGCTGATATGAAGTCACATTGAAATACATTGACGGCCAATCAATTAATTTGTTAAAGCTAGGACATTTCAGTATTTTTATCAATGATTTTTATCAAGAGCGCTAATTCAGGCTTTACAACACTTATGAGTCAATGTGGAGGATGACATGCTGTTTTACAGTATTTTTAGTATCTAAATGTTCAGTCAGAATAAGATACTACAGCCAGTCTCAATACTCATTAGACAGCTGGCGCTGTCAGGATATCTTTGAGTCGTAATATCAATTATACGGCAACAAAGCATGTCCTGACAACTAAAGTGTACCAATCAGACAGGAAAAAATCTATATTTTTTGAAATATGCAAGAGGCTCAGAATTTCTAAATCTCATTAAAATCTTACTTACAGTCAGTGCATGAAGATTAAAGACTTCCAAAAAGCAAACATCGAATTTTTCTTTCCTTTTCATGAAATTTTGAACAGCTTCAATTTGCATCATGTTCTCAGCAATTTGATATCCTCTGATTTGAATTAGTGGAATTGAGAAAACTTTTGGATATTTTGATATCTTGAACATGTCCATTTTCTTCTCTGAAATTGAAGAATAAGTTATTAAGTTGAGGTTCCATAGCTATGTTGTGCTGAGTCAAAAATAAACAATATCTGCCCTTGACTGCCTGAAACGCTTAAGAGGGGGACAAGACCCTCCTGGCTAGGCGCCTGGTGCTTGATAATACATGGAATATTTGTAAAGGTGCTGAATACTTTAACTCCCTAATTAGATCTTATGATCTTCCTTATATCAGAAATCTTCATCAATTTAGTAGCACCACGTCGCTGAACTCAACCTATACAATCAATTATCGATTTAAAATTTAAAAGTCATTCCACATGATGTATGAAAAAGATCTCAAGGTCACTAAAATTAGTTGCTTCATCATCTAAACATGAGAACTTTTAAATCGATTCTCATCAGTAAATAACAGCCACAAAAGGCTATCAAACTCAATTATTAACTAAAAGTCCAATAATAACTTAATTCCTCACCAAAATCAAAAAACTTTGTCATTTCCGAAATGTCAATTTCTTCATAATTCCTAATTTTATCTTTCAGCGGATACGGTGTAAGAACAGTAGCTTCATGTCCAGCATCAACTAATGACTTGATCACTTCATGACCAATTACCCAATGAGATTTACTAGCGACCGGTAAGACGCCTAAAATCTTAAGTCCATTAGCTTTAATGAACAGCACACAAAGCAGAATGAAAATATTAGCGATGTTCATTCTGGCGCGATGATTTGTTTACTACTGAGAGAATAATTTTGGATGACTTGTGTTTTTATTCAAGTAATTTAGAGCAGATTCTGATTGTGTGAGTTTGATTGTTGAGAGAAAGTGAGAAACTTTGTCATGGATGTGTGAGATCAAATGAAGCATGTTCTATAGATAGTGCAAATGTGCTTTAGTATTGAGATAAGAGTTTATCAAAAAATGTGGATCTTGACCAATTGAAAAATTAGACTTTAAGACACCTGAGTTTATAGCTTTAGTTCAATTGAGCTGTCACCTTTCCCTTAGTCAATCCTTACTCCAGCCTATCTGAAATTGACGAAAGTTAAACACTCAAAATGATCAATTTAACTTTAAATTGACTTTATTATTTTATTATTTTGAATCTATTGCTTTTAACCTTAAGCCTTAATTTTTTTTCAATTTTTTTCCAGACCTTCCTGTCAACTTATTAAAAATCAATTTTAAAATCTTAATTTGAATGTAGAAAACTACAAGTAGAATGGCAAGCATCAATCCATAAACATCAAGTGAATAAAATTGAATTGCACTTAGGTCACATCCAGCTGATTTTAAGAATGGAGCACCATTATGTCTCGCGATGTATTCTGTCCAAAAGACAACTTGTTGCTGCGGAGTCATTACTCGATCGCTGAATCTTTTTGCTACTTCTTCGGCATTTTGTTTGTACTTTGGATTATTGAGAAGTTCCGTTAGAGACTTGAGGATGGTTTCTTCTGTAATGTCATCAATGTTGAGCAATAATCCTCTTTCTTGGTATGCTATCTCTGCTATGTTTCGCTAGAATTCAAAAAATTATTAATATTGAGCTTTCGAGCACTCATCAATACTCACTCCTTGATCTCCATACATAGGAAGTCCCAATATCGGTACACCTTCTTGGGTTGCTTCTGTTGTACCTAAATAACCTCCATGACTGATGAACAACTTCACATTTGGATGGGTAAGGATATCACGTTGTGGAATCCATGGACTTATCATCATGTTGTCAGGCTTGTTAGGCAAAGTCTCATTCTCATACTTCCACAAAACCTTCTGCTTGATTTTCCCAAGAGCATTTGTAAAAGCTACACGGATATGCTCTGGAAACTCTTCAGCCTTGACAATTGATCCCATTGTAAAGACAACAGCACCGTCAACAGCTGAATCAAGAAATTCTTGAATATTTTTTGGCAATTCCTTCTTCTTAGGTATGTGAATTCCTCCAATTTCAATCATATTCGGTAAGTTTGGTCGACCACCAGTGACACTATTGTGACTACTCAAAAATATCAAAGGAACTCCATTAATCATCTCATCGAAAGTTCTTCTAGCATTTGGGAAATATTTGTTATACAATGCACGCTGACTTGGCAGATGATAAGTGTAGTAAAAAACATTTTCAATTTGGATGTAAAGCGTGTTCCAAAATCTTTCGGCAAAATTCAATTTACCCGCATATGGAAGTATTGGAGTGACGACATAAGACGATGGTGACAAACTTGGAAAGAAAAAAATATTATTTTCGATAAGAAATTGATAAGAAAATTATGAAATTCTTTTATCATACTTGGATGTCATAACGTCGGCCCATTGTAAGACTGATGAACTTGTGTATGGCACATAAATGCAGTCAAAGTGATCGAAGATTCCCTGAAAAATGGTTAGAAAATGGAAATTCAATGTAAGATGGTGAAAGTATCTTGTAGAAGCAACTTTGATAGTCCAGGAGCTTTATAGGTATATAAAAGATAGGAACTTTGTAGTTCAAGCTGCCTAGAAATGTATAATACGTGAACATCACACTCTTTGGTGATTGAGAGACTGAATTTTGGTTATGACTGAACATACAGTGGGAATTGCAGATGCCTAGTCCGCTTTTAAAAGTCAAAGCTACTGAGCCCTCAGTTTCGTATCAGCAAAGTCACCTACACATAGATCAACTCACTTTAATCGTGAAAAGTCATGCTAAACTCACCGACAGTGCATTACCATGAAAGGTTTCCAAGAAGCAAACATCAAACTTTTCCCTTGTTTTTATAAAATTTCGAACATCTTGATTTTCCATTACCAACTCCACCAGTGCATTACCGAAATTATGAAGTATTGGAATCTCGAGAAGTTTTGGCATTTTTGCCATATCAAAAGGGCTGAACTTTTCATCTAATAAACACAATTTTTAATCCATTAATGTTTATTGAATTGGATGTCAAAGCAGCAACTTACATTTCTCAAAGTGATCAACTATAAAAGAAACATCAATTTCTTCATAATTTCTAATTTTATCTTTTTGTGGATATGCTGTAAGAACAGTAGCTTCATGACCCGCATCAACTAATGATTTAATTATTTCATGACCAACAAGCCAATGTGATTTACTCGCAAATGGCAAAATACCAAAAATTTTAAGTCCATCAATATTAATGAACAAGGCACAAAGTAGAAATATTACGAACTTCATATCTGTTTGAGACTTTATAAGCAACTGATAACTTTTATCTTTGTTTTCAATTTTACTCAGTGTTTGTGCAGGGGTGGATTTAGGAAGCATCAAGAAGACAGTGGCAAGAGAGTTGATATAAACAACAATTTGCTTTTAAATCAAGAAAGGAAAGAGTCATTCTAAGCTACACTTTTGTCTCCGTGCTATTGTGACCTTACAAAGAGTACATTTTATCACTATTCAAGCATTCATTATCATCAATTTTGTGTTTATGCTTCTTCTAATCAAATGATCCATATATGGAATAGAATGATAAGGAGATCGGTTTCGAGCTGTGAGATATGGTATGACTTTATAAAATATGACATTGTTGGACACACAATTTTAATCCATTTGAGAATATTAAATTTGCCTAAATGCTTGACACTACATTACTGTATTTTATACTTGGAACTGAGAATTTGCCTCGTTTTTGAACATTTTGAAAAGTTTTTGAAAAGAAAATACCTTCAAGCCCATATATAGCCAAAAATTCTCAATAAATGATTAAATATCACCTGTCGTTTAACTAGAATCAGGATTGCGTTACAGGCACCTGTGCACAGGTCAGAACCATACAATTCCTTGATAATTTGTGAGGTTTTATTAGAATTTGTATGGTTTTGTTACAAAAACCTTATAAATTATCAAGGAATTGTATGGTTCTGGCCTGTGGACAGGTACTTGTATTGCAACCTAACTTAGAATTCAACTTACCGACATTGCGTTCCCATGGAACGTCTCCAAAAAACAGACATCAAACTTCTCTTTTGTTTTCAATAGTTTTTGGACATTTTCATGCTCAATCACCAGTTTGGCAAATTTATTTCCCATCCAATGAAGAAATGGAATTCCTGCGATAAGTGGTAACTTCCGAAGTTCAAAGGGATCAATCTTCTCCTCTGTCAAATTAAGGAATTAGAATTATTGAATCTTGTATTTGTTAAATTAATCTTACCTTCCTCAAACGATTTTGCTATGCTTGACATTTCAATTTCTTTATAATTTTTTATTGGAGTTTTTGATGGATAAATTGTAAGCACTGTTGCTTCATGTCCAGCATCAACTAATGATTTTATTATTTGATGACCAACAAGCCAGTGAGATTTACTAGGAAATGGTAAGATCCCTAATATTTTCAGTCCATCAATTGAGATTAAATACGAAAAAAGTAAAACTATTAACGAGAGTAGCTTCATGATTGTATCAAAGGCTATACAGTACTGACTCTAAAATCTAACTTGGAATTTCTATTTTGTGAGTATTTGTTAATTATGATTATGTCAGATTGTACATGTGTTGTAATGATCTTATATGTGTGTATACACATGAATGGGAAGAACCATACACAAATAACTTGTTTATTAAAGTCCAATCAGCTGAGTAAAACACAGTTATTAATGTAAATGACATCCATAGAAAATGAGCGTGTGTGTTGAAGGTCATGTGTAATTTTACAGAATGCAGAGTCATGATCAAGGGAACAGAAACTGGATAGAAATGTGTTGTGATATTTTGATTATTATTAGGGAAATTTGAAATTCTTAAGGACCGGCTGCTCTTTATACACTAGGACTTTTGAGCCTTTAGCTTAATTTATGGTACCTAAAATCTTTTACAGATAATCAGCATAATATGTAGAACTAAGCAAATAAATAAAAACTCTCAATACTCTGCAAACTTCTTTATTACCATTTCCGACCTTCCACAACTTTTTATTTCACTGATAACAATTTATCAAACTTTATTTACTGCTTCTTCTCCTTCACAACTTTTGAACTGAATAATTTCTTACAAATGACTTTACTCAAAAGATAATTTACATAAATTATAGCTGCAATAATGACTGCAAAGCTACAATAAACGTCAAGTGAGTACAACTGTAACAAATTTAAGTGATTAGCATCAACTCTTAAATGAGGTGCGCCTTTATGCCTAATGACGTATTCCGTCCAGTAAACAACTTGCATTTTTGCTGGAATTGTTCGATCTTTGTACATGCTTGACAAGTGCTGAGCATTTTCTGAATATTTTGGATTGTTTAAAAGCTCATTTAGAGCTTTAGAGACATTCTCTTCTGTTATATCTGCAGCATCAAGTTTTAAGCCATTTCCATGTAAAATTGCATTTGCGACATTCATTCTTTGATCACCAAACATTGGAATTCCTAGAACTGGAACTCCAGATATTGCAGCTTCAAATGTTCCTAGCAGTCCACCATGAGTAATGAAAAGCTTTACATTTGGATGTGCTAGGATGTCTCTTTGTGGCAACCACTTCATTGTCTTGACATTTTTAGGCTTATTTGGCAGTTCATCTTCATACTTCCATAAAACTTTCTGCTTTAACTTCCCAAAAGCCTTCAAGAAAGCTTCGCGTTGTTCTTCGTCCCAATCAGTTCCTTGCAAATTAGAGCCCATCGTGAACACGACAACTCCATCCTTAGCATTGTTTAAAAACTTTTGAAGCTTTGCTGTTAATGGATCTGCTTGCCTTACATGAATCCCACCAATGTTGATCATGTTAGGTGTCAATGGACGTGGCGATGAAATTACTGGATTATCATTGACAAATATTAAGGATGAATTCTTGTAGACATCATCAAATGACCGCTGAGCATTAGGAAAATATTTCTGGTAAAGCCGACGCTGATTTGGGAGGTGATAAAATTCATAAAATATTCTCTCAACCAGTGTATTGAATGTGTTTAGGAACCTTTCATGGAAATTCATTTTGTGGGTGTAATCGAGGAATGAGTTTGGCACGTAAGATGTTGGTGATATGCTGGAAGCCATTCTATCGAGTAGATAAACTGAAGGATATGTTGTGTATGTGATCAAGATGCAGTCGAAGATTTCTGCTAGTCCCTAAAAAAGTATGAAAAATTAGAATGACTTCTTGGCAGATCTAAGGGGTAAGTTTAGTGGCAGGGGGTGCTTAAAAACCCAACCCTGCTCAATGACACTATGTTAAGCTTGTAAGTCTAATAACGAACACACTGTGGTGATATCAAGCATCCTTTTTGTTTGTCTAGATATCATGTTACTTAATTCTTACCTGTAAAGCCTCAAAATGGGTATTTTCAATGATACATGCATTGTAAGTTTGGCCACTTTCTATCAGTTCTATAATTTTTGGATGTGACATCACATAATTCACTGTTTCTTCACCGGATTGATACAAAAATTTGAGGCTTGGAATTATTTCTGGTTTCTCGAGGTTTAAAAAGGCTGGAACTTCAGCTACAAAAATGCATGCGTACGGTTAAGCAAGTATTAGGTCAAAATGTGTTAGAGTAGAGTATGTGTACAGTTGATGTATTAACTTACCTTCCACATATTCACCATTCCATTCCGCACTAGCAATGCTCACATCTTTGAAAAAATGCAGCTCTTGATTTTGCGGATAAGGCGACACGACAGTCACATTATGGAAAAATTCAGCCAAAGTTTTCATTATCGACTCTCCAATCGCAAAATGTGATTTAGTCTCAAACGGAAGTATGCCAAGAATTTGATAACTTGTTGAATAATTCGAGCATGAAATTAAAATTAGAAGAAAGCTTAAAACCTTCATTTCTGGTTGATTTTATGTTCAAAACTGAATATTTTATTGAATTTTATCTGAAATTTCTTATCGGAAGCGGATTAAGGGGGGTAACATTAGTGATAAAAGTTGATAAGATTTCACTTAGTTTTCTGTTTGATTTGTTTCGGCATGAAAAGTCTTAAAAGATATTTAACTAAAGCATATTGAGCATAAATAATTAACATAATTAAAGCTATAAATGTCAAATAGACATCAATGTTGTGCATTTGAATGTAGCTTAAATCCCTCGCAACAGCTTTTAAATGATGAGCGCCTTTGTGTCTAATGACATACTCAACCCAATACACAACCAAATCTTGAGGTGTCATTGGACGATCCCTAACAATTCTTGAATTTTCTTTGGCTTTGATTCGGATTTGTTCATCAGTCAAGGCTTTTTGTAGTGCTTCTGTGACTGTTTTCTCACTCAAATTATCAAAGTCAAGAATGAATGTGAAGCCTTTGTCGCGTGCCATTTTCATATTCATTTTCTGATCACCGAAAATTGGAACTGCCAGCATTGGAACTCCTTCATAATTTGCTTCTGTTGTTCCTAGCAGACCACCATGTGTGATGAACAGCTTTACATTTGGATGAGCTAGGACATCCCTTTGTGGAATCCATTTGCTGATCATGACATTGTCAGGCTTGTTAGGCAACGTGTCATTTTCGTATTTCCATAAAACTTTTTCCTTAATGTTTGCAAAAGACTTTACAAATGCTACACGTTTATGTTCTGGCCACTGAACAGAACGGATTATTGATCCCATTGAGAAAATGATTGCTCCATCAGTTGCTGAGTCAAGAAACTCTTTTATGTCTTTCGGAAGTGGCTTGACATGCGGATCGACAGTTATTCCACCAATATCAATGATATTAGGCATTGTCGGCTTAATTGAAGCTGATGAAAAATGCTGATTATTAAGAATTATTGAAACATTCTTGATCACTTCCATTAAACTATGTGAATCCTTCTTCAAATATTTCTCATAAATTCTATTTTGCATTGGATAGTTCAGGATGTTCCATAAAATTTCTTCCATCCACCAAATGAATGTATTGTCAAGTCGGTGCAGGTATGTCATGTGCTCTGTGTATGGTGAAAATATATTTGGATTGTAGCTTGTGGGATTTGGAGTGCTTGCAATTATGTTCGTCCAATGTGATACTCCAAATGTTGTTATTCCGATGACTGGACAGTTGAAGTGATTGCCGAGACCTGGGGAAGATTTATGGAATTAGATTGATGTCTGATAGAGTATTCAGTTACTGCATGATCTTGTAGATTTGAATAGACATAAATACTAATGTGTACACAGCCAGCCATACATACAGACATACATACAGACAGTCAGCTAAATAGATGAACAGTCATCCAAGAAGGTTAATTTACAGCTGTAGAAGTGACAAAGGGCCGAAATAATCGTAAGACATACTGAAAGATAGACATACAAGCTCTGGGCAACTTTTAAAGTATAAAAAGGCTTTGAACCCTTCAACACAAACTTCAAGCTACCTTACAGTCACACATTAAAATTCTATAATTTCCATTCAATGTAATAATTTAAAATTTCAAGTTCACCCTGTTACACTTTCATTCAAGCAACAATTTTTATTCAATAACAGCTGATATCTTTGCGGCTTGTTAATACAACTAAGTTTCAGCGAAAAAAACCCAATTGAAAAAAAATTTCGCAACTCAAAGACTTGATAACTATTGATGCATGTCGATTAAACTTGTATTACATCAGTGTCTGGGTGTAGAATGGTCACAGATTATTTTACAAATCGATAATCGAGCATAAGATTAAAAAATATTTATTTCTTAGACATAGAAAATAAGAAAACGCAAAAAGATGTTGAGAAATCTCTTGTTAAAGGTACGAGACATTTTTTCGAGATATATAAAAAGAAAAATTTTTGGTTTGATTGTCAGACAAGTTTGATTCATTTAACAGTTAACAACAAGTGCTCTAAATTCAGTTCTTAGGTATTGTTAAGGCCTTTTAGTAAAAATGAGAGCTTGGCAGATTTTTGCATGTTTAGTGCTCGTCCAAATCGCACTTTCGAGTGCCTTTTCCTTTTATGGACATGAGAACTACAAAGAATTAGGTCATGATGATCATGACATGGAATTTGCTGCATCTGACAAACATGAAGAATCAGCACATGAAGAGTCAGGTGGTGAAGAACATGGAGCTGATCACTTCTCGAAAAAAGGACACAAAGGTGATGAAGGACATAAAAAGAAGAAGTCATGGGAGAAAAAAGAAAAAGGTTCACATCATAAGGACGAACATTCAGGACATGATGAAGAAGAAGGTGGACATAAGAAAGAAACATACGATGAAGCTGATTCACACAAGGAACATCATGAAGAAGCAAAGAAGAAGAAGGAAGGCAAGCATGGACATAAGAAGTTCCACAAGAAGGGTTCAAAAACTACTGGATATCATAAGAAAGCTAATAAGGATGAATATCATAAAGAACATAAATTCTATGATGACAAGCATGAAGAAGGCAAACATAAGGTAAGTCTAGGCTATAATAAATCCAATTACATCCCTAATTGAACTTTAAATCTTTACTTCCATCAATCTAGAAATACGGCGACCATCACGAACATCACAAAGAAGAAGAGGGTAAGCATAAGAAGGGAGGAAATCACGAAGAAGGACATAAAGAAAGCAGCAACAAAAAGAAGGGAGGCTCAGAAAAGGGACATGAAGATGAAGCTCACAAAGGCTACAAACATAAGCACGGACATGAATCACATCACTCACATAATGACAAGCATGGAAAGAAAGGTGGAAAGCATGGCGGTGGTGAACATGGTAAGTTGTGGAACTTGTCTTAGTTCTTGTAACAAATTTTAAATCTTTGACTTTCCTTTAATAGGATTTAGCTCAGGAGGTGGTCATGGAGGTGGAAAGGACGGTGGTCATTAAAATTCTTGTGATAATTACAAACTTAATGAAATTAAAAGAGGCATTAAACAGTTTATAACTGACAACTAGAGTCTATTAAAGAAAATAAAGAAAAAAATGTTTTGTTGATTAAAATTTTAAATTTTTATGGAGTTTTTACTTTGCTTGCAGCTATTGATATTTTGGAACTTTTGGATTCAGCTACTCTCCAAGCAATCAAAACTCTTGCTACCAAAAACTCTCTGATGAAAACAAAATTCTTTGAAGTATAAAACGTGCCAATAGGATTTTCCATCCAAAAAATTATTTAGTTCTTAAGAAACAGTAGAAACCTCAATTTCATATTCTTCCTACATAAAAGACTGATCTCCAATCCAAATAACTGCTGTAGTTGGATAATCGGATGCAAAAATAGTGCTGAGTACAGTCAGTTCTTATGGAAATTTAAAAGTTTCTCATTGGATGGATGTCAATTCTCAATAGAACAAGCTAGAAAAGAACTTGAAGGGAGATACTCTTTGATTCGTGATGCAGCTAATAGTTTTCCGAGTAAATTAGTCAAAATGGAGTCTTCACCGGCTTACAATAAATTTTTTCCATCGGAAAGATTGATGGAAATATTAATAGAAGTTGATGCGCATGAAATTATAAGTACCGTGGATGGAATCGTCCTGAATTATAGGCATGCTACGAGAATGCTAAGTAATGAAATATATGTATCGACCTTTAAGGAGTATGAGGCAATTAAGCTCAGAGAAGCGTTGACCAATATGGGTAATACAAATGCTACCATAATGGATGGATCTTTTCTTCTCTTCTACAAGACAATCTGGGGCAGACAGACTTCAATGATTCAAACTGAGGATGGCTCATCCATTAATATGGTGGATCAACGTCTGATTGAGAAGGATTTAATCACCAATAGCCTAGACATCAACAGTATTAGAAATTCTTTAATTTAACAATTGAATTAACGACCTGAACTAGAAACATGAAATTTTCTCTTCACTCATACATGCTGAATTATCTGTTCTTTTAATCATATTTTACCTTTTCTTTCTAAGACCGTTTGAGTAAGTTAGTCTTTATACCTTATTCATGAGAAATACTGTAGTCTTATGTTAAGAAACTTGTTACCAATAAAAGCATTGCTTTTAAATGAAAAAAAAAATTGAATACAGTAGTTCCCTACTTGACATGTAATTTAAATATCTTGGTATAAATCAATGACTTTAAACATATTAATCACAGGAAATGCAAAATTATATGTTCTACTTTTCTAGATAAGTAAAATGAATCAGATCGAAAAGTTCTAGTTGCATAGCTAATTTGATATGTTTCAATAAAAACTAATAATATTTCGAGAAAAAAATTAAGTCATTGTAGTGCATTGGTCTTAAATGACTTGTAACATTTTATAGAACAGAGTTTCACAAACTTTTCAATCCTTGACACATTGTACTGTCAATCATGAACTTTTTTGTTCATTAACTGTTACTCTATTCGTGGATCGACCAGAGTTTTAACATGGAACATTGTGGCCCGCGGAGCATAGATTGAGAAACACTGTTTTATAGGAAATGTTACTAATTGTATTGCAGTTTTTCTTACTCAAAAGGCTCGGCCCTTGACAAGTTATTATCTCATCATTTATAGCACTTTCTGTTTGCTTTCCGAAACACTTGTGTACCGTGACAGCTTTGTACTCCTAATGCAAGTTAAATAGAAGAAACACTGAAAAATACTACTGATTTTATTCATTTTCATCAGGCTTACTCAGTTGTTGGATCTGGGGTATCGAGCTATATGTAGGCTAATCTGCCAGAGCGTGAGTAAGGTCTCTGCAACAGACTGGATAACTTTCTACTCTGATAACGTGGGTTCGAGTCCCACCAATTTCTCAGATCGATCTCTTAAACTTTTACATAAAGTATTGTCGATGTGGCAAGGAAACGCACAATGCTCGGCTTTTTTGGATTGTACTGCCTAGCAAAGTCTATGCATATTCATAAAGATGTAATCAGGTAGAAAAATGTTATCAGAATATCCATTTTATAACAATAACGGGGAAAGCAACTTCATGAACTGTAGATGTTATCAATACATAGATTTTACCTTATTGTTATCCCTCTGTTAATCCATTATCAACAGTTTCTGTTAAGCATTCATTTTGAGATAATTTATATAATTTGAATAAAACAAGAAACATTCAGCCAAAAAATTCAAGTGAAATGTGGAAGAAATGAAACAAAAGACTGTTGAATAATGTCTTTCTAAGTTTTTTCGGCAATATATAAGAGAAAGTTTTCAAATTAAGAATATCAGACAAGTTTTGGGCATTCATTAGTCAACAAGTCAATTTTGGTGATTAAATATTTTGAAAATTAAAGTTAAATAAAATTTAAAAATGAAAGTTTGGGAAGTTTTAGTGAATTGCTTGCTGGCACAAGTCACAATTTCATATGCACGATCGATTCATAAATCAAAAACTGAGGAACAGTCACAATTGAGTCAATATGGAGATGACATGGAAGTGTCACCATCAAACTATCACAAAAAGTATGAAATGTCTCATGAAGAAGTTGATGGAACAAAGAAAGATGAAGATCATTATTTAACAAACAGACATAAGAGCGGCAAAGGACATAAAAAGAAGCATTCTTGGAACAAAAAAGAGAAAGGATCACAACATAAAGATGACAATATAAAGCATGAAGAGGAAGAAGGTGGACACAAGAAATCCAACTATGATGAATCTGATTCCCACAGTGAACATCACGAGGAATCAAAGAAGAAGAAGAATGGTAAAAATGGACACAAGAAGCATCACAAAAATGGAACCAAAGTTACTGGATATTCAAAGAAAATAAATAAGGATGAATATCACAAGGAGCATAAGTTTTACGATGAGAAGCATTCGGATGGAAATCATAAGGTATGGCATTCTTCAAAGGCAGGTGCGTAGCCTGAAAGGTCTCATCCCCCCTTAAACGTTTTGAACCGCAGCGAGAGCACGGCCTAAAACGATTAATAGGAGACAAGACCCTCCTGGCCACGTGCCTGTTCAGAGGTTCTAAACCTTCCAATCCCCCCTTACCCAATTATTATGCATTAACCTTTTAAACCACGTCACTTGGTCTTGTAGCTCATTAATGTATTTAAAGCTTACAGCATCTACTTTGTCTACTAGATTTATAAGCATAACTTTTCATAATTTTACCTTAATTTACAGAAACACGGAAATCAAAACAAACATCACAAAGATGACTCAGAGAAGCACAAAGAAGGCCACAATCATGCAGATGGATTTGAGACAGATCACCATAAAGAAAAGGGAGGAACTGAGAAGGGCCATCATGATGAGCATCAAAAGGGTTACAAAAATAAACACGGCAATAATAAGCATCACAAGAATGAGGAAAAACATGAAAAGAAAGCTGGAAAGGAGAGTGGATCTAAGCATGGTGAGCTAATTAAGGCTTAACATAAACCAAAAAATAGATTTAAGTTAAATGTTGAGCTTTATGTAAGCAATTCTGTCTCTTTAAAAGTACAATTAGAATCACAACAGAGTTAATATCTGTGATTACCTTTCATGCATGGGTTTGAATCCTATAAGTATTTTAAAAACTATTTATCTAGAGTATACATAATTTTTTTTGCGTCAAAATGACAAAAACAATGTCAAAAGATGAAACAAGATGAAAACGAAAATCAACTAAGATGTTGAACTACTCACTTACTAATATTTTTTACAGGATTTAAATCAGGAAGCAACGATGACAACAACGATCATGATGATGATAGTCATGGAAGTCACAGTGTACCAATTAATCAAAAACAAACAATAAGTCCTGCAGCAGTTCAAAGAAGTAGAAATGGCAACAGAAGCACCGTTAAGCCAGAACTTGACATAAATTCAAAATTACCAAGCAATCAAAATGATCAAAACAAGAAAGAAGATCAGCAAAATACAACAGAAATGGCTGTTGCTAAAAATCATCATCATTAAAAAAATTAGCTTTAGTTTCTCATTATTGTAGCAGCACGAACGTGCTTTCGCTACGGATTTTTAAATTAGTTTTGCCTTAAAACTTATATTACTTAGCTTATTCTACAGAATTAAGAATCATTGTTATTAGAATGTTTAGAATTTCCTGACTGATTTTAGAATATTTTTTATGCATTTTTTTTTGTTGTTAAATAAAGTTTCTTCAAACCTTAAAATAATTTTTCTTTTGCAACTTATTTATTATTTTTTGAAAATTGCGGTACTTTAGAATGATTTTACATCCATGTCTTTTTTTGAAAAAAATGAAGAATCAATGGGATTAAAGCTTTAAGAATAATTCGCAAAATTTCATATAGGTTCTATAAATTAGTGTGTAGCTGGACATTCATCTGAAATCAAACTTGCATTTAAAACTTAACAGCAGTATACTCAAAAGTTTGAGTTTCTGTAACTCCTCAAGCAAGGCTTGACGAAATTTGACGATATTTTTACAAACTATAGTAAAGGTTCCGAATCATTTTGTGACTCCGCATGCCGGCTAACTTTTTCCCGCCAAACCTTATAGAAACTTCTACTTCTTTAATGACATTTTGGCTTTAAATCTCCAATTTGAGCTTTTATAAGCATCGTTTATCGTACTTTGTTATTGAATACTGTTGATTTTTGAAACTCTGAACAGTGCATGGACAATGGTATATCAATGCAATGATACCTAGCTACAATTTTTGTGGACGCGATTTACACAAACTAAGTTACCATGACTTAAAAAACCTAGAAACATCCAAATCTTACTAGCTATTCTCTAAGATCGAACTAGAGTCGGTTAGCCTACACTCTAGCCACTGCCCCATTTATTCTTTTTTGATGTTATACAATCAAATCCAATCCAACTTATTATGCTTGTTGTAATGATTCATTGCTGTCTCAACAAATGCTGTTAACAACATCAACCGCGAATCTTCGGTACTTATTAACAAGCAACAAATTATATCCAAGAACTTTGTTTCCACAACGAGTTCAATGAACCCCTGTTGTTATTCAATTTTTCAAAATTATATTAAACCTGCAAGCTAGCACCGTCTTATCTAAATTCAGCATGACACAATAATTTTAACCCGGGAGTCACTAAATCATTATCCAAAACAGCACAACAAAAAATAGCAATTTCGCAATCTTAGACCGAAAATTTTCGGGTTGCATGTGTGAATGTTTTATATAAGATCTAGCTACAACCACTAAGTAGAGTAAAAAAACAGTAATTGAACAAGCCACAAAAACAGACGCAAAACAAAACCCAAAAAAATGAAGTAATTGACCAACATTTCTTGAGAGATATAAAAAGCAATTCTTTTCACTTTAATTGGCAGACAAGTTTTGGACGTTTGACAGTGCGCGACAACTCTATGTAGGCATGAGACTTTGGATTATTTTTATATTTTTTGTGATTGTGCAATTGGGATTATCGGAATGTTTGACAATTTACAATCAGGCACAGAAAAAGAAGCCTAAAGATGAAATTGAATCTCACAAAACTGAATTAAAAAAGCATGGAAAGAATGCAACTGGTGATAAAAAATCGAGTCATGATGATGATTTTAAAAAATATGGTGCAGCTGAATATGACTCGAATAGGCGATCAACAAAAGGCGATGATGGAGTTGAAAGTTATAACAAAACATCATCATGGGAGAAGAAGAAAAAGAAGGCACACCATAAAAAGATAGGAGATGAAGCACGGAAAAGTAAGAGCCACGAGAGTTCTTATCATAAAGATCCAGATTATTATGATGACAGTGAAGAGATTCAAGAAGTGGAAGAAAAAATTGTGAGTAATAAGAAACATGATCATGAAGATCATAAGCCAATGAAAGAAGGAAAGATCCAGCAAAAAAAACCGTCAACAAATAAGAAAAGTAGCAGTTCAAAAGCTAAAGATTCAAAAAATAAAGTCAATAAATCCAAGAATAGCAAAAATCACAAATCACCGCACAAAAGTCACAAAAAATATTCAGAAAAACATGAGAACAGCAAGAAACCTAGAAAAATTTCTAAGTCTAAAAGTAATTTAAAGGATCCACAAAATTATCATCCAAAAGAAAAGCACAATAAGGACAGAAAATTAGACAAAGAGCACCATGAGCATCAAAGCTTACATAATCATGGTAAGTCAATTTATAAATCGGTTTTTAAAGAAATGAGTGTCATGGCATCAAATAAGTTGCCAGAAGAAGGTTGTGGAATTTTTTTTCTTGCATTGAACCCTCAGACTTCCCGAATAGATCAGGTCGGTAAATTGAATACAAATCTGGAGACAATTTGGCATGTCTAAGATGGTACTGACTTCGAGTCAAATCCAACATCATGCGAGAGCTACACCGGCTTAGTTCTGGATTTCTGATCGATTAACCGACTTGGGCCATTCAGGCTTGTCAGTTTTAGATACAGAATTCTAGTAAACCTTCGTTCAACTTGTAGAAGAGCCAAAAATTTGTATTTGTCTCTCAGACCACCCTTAGGCAATGTTTCTATTTATTGGAACGACTTCAAGCACTACATATATATGTAGAAACTGTCAACTAAGCACAAATTTTTGCGCATGTGCAATATGCGCGGGATCCGGAACCAATAGTAAATGCAATAAATGCAGAACTGTCAATGTCAGTTCCTGGTGCTTGTTGCTACTCACTAAATGTGTGGAACTGGATGCCAAAATGTCAAAAATAATCAAAATGCGATTTATCAGTTCCGCAATCTTGGTTTACATCTTCTCCTTACAATAATATGATTTAAAATATAACCCCGCTTATAATTTTTTAAGTAGATTAATTTTTGTCCCATTTTTCTAGACGCAACACCAAATAAAGTTCACAAAGTTCATCAGTAAACACATATTTTACAAATCATTACTCCATCATGGAGATACTGGAACTATATAAACAAAAAAAAAGATTCTTAAACTCACCAAAAAGAGCATCATTGCCAAAAATTTCAACAATTACAGCATCAAAAGTTCCATTTGCTAAAATTTTCTGCACATTTGGATGTGACAAAAGGAACTCGACACGTTTTTCAATTATTTGAGACATGACAACGAAATTTGTGTAAAGCGTGATTTCAGCTAATTTAAATGCATCCACATGAACTGTATAGAAAAATTTATAATGTGATAAAATTGCATTTTTGTCTATAAATAAAGTAATTCAACCTTCTTCTCGATTGTCGAGTATGACATTTTCAACATTTTTGTGTTCAAACTTGTGTGGACTTATAATTGTTATTTTATGACCCTTATCCGCTAATGTCTGCACAACTGATCGACCGATAAAGAAGTGACTTTTATAATCCATCGGAAATACCGCAAGAATATTTGATGCATTTATTATATTCACAGAAAATAACGCGAAAATTAAAATAATCTTAATTTGCATGTCTACGATTTAAGCTCACCCTTGGAACTAATTTTGTAAAGTGTAAGTTATAATCAGTATTTGTTCTTTTTTTCATTTCTCAGTTTCTCTCTCGACTTTTCTCATTTTCTACTCACCATAAAGTGCCTCAGTTTGAAAAACTTCAACAATTACAGAATCGAATGACTCAGTTTTTAATAATTGTTGGACTTCAGGGTTTGTGAGGATTAATTGTAGGTATTTTTCGATCAATCCAGGTAAGATGAAGAAGTATGTGATGGCGTTTAGGTTGACAAGTTCAAATGGATTTTTGAAGGCTGTAATTTGGAAAATTCCGATATTTAACTTTAATGTTAAGCTTTGACTCCTAAACCCCTGTAATATAGTTATCAAATACACCCCTGCCTTTCACCAACTTTTTTAAACCAGTGTTGTCCAAACTTTTTGAGCCACAGCACACCTTAGAGGTAAGTCATGACCGAAGTCACACACAGCATACGGCTCGTGTCATTTCCAAAAAATATCTTTTCATACTTGTGTGCCGCGGCACACAGTTTAGACAACACTGTTTTTGACACTTGACTTAACAAAGCACAATCTTCTTACCATCAGGAAAGTCTGTCAGCACAACGTTCTTCACATTAGCCTCCTCCAGACGAAAAGCACTAATCAAAGTCACATCATGCCCAGCTCTTGCAAGTTGCTTAACCACAGACTCTCCAATCAATGCATGACTCTTAAAAGGAGTTGGTAAAATTGTCAAAATTTTATAGCAACTTCCAGCAATAAAATTCAACAGAATCAACGTCAAAATCACTTCCAAGCTTCTCATATCGGCAAAACACAAACAAAACTGACATGATAAACATCTTAATATCTCAATATATAGTGACATAATAGCTCAGAAAAATAATGAACTTGAATTGCTTGAGAAAAAAAGTCGCTGAGAATTTTTCAAAAACCTGAACAAAGGACACATGTAATTGCAGTGTAGAACATGAAACATCGAAAAGTTCGCTACGTTGTAGGAAAGTTGTAAGTAATCGTGTTTATAGCTTGTTGACATATTTTTTGTGTACTTAATGGAAACGTAACTGACCTATGAGACCAGTTTTTTGCGTAGAATTTTAAAATGTAGAGTCGCGATAAGGAAAAAGCATGATGAATAATTTGTGTGTGTCTAAAGTTTTTTGATTTATTTTTCTACTTATTTTTTTCACTAGGGTCGTTCAAAAATAATGTCTATCTGCCTCTTTTTTGCAAACTTGAGCCTTAATGACTAGTAAATTGCATCGTTAATCCTTAATCTTGGTGACATTTGTATTTAGACAAAGTATCGTCATTTATGATCAACTCCGAAACTTTATATTAATCTAATAACTTCCTTCAGACTAATCAGCTTCTCTTAACCTTTTCTTCAACCGATCTAACTCCAAAAATCATACAAAACAATCTCTTTAGTGAATAATAACAAATGAACAAAATAAAACAAATTAAGGCATAAGAATCAATCGAGTGAAGCTGAATAAAATTCAAATTATGTGCTGCTGATCTCAAGTGCATTGCTCCGTTATGTCTGATAACGTATTCCACCCAGTAGACAACAGATTGTTGCGGTGTCATTGGACGATCTTTATAGACTTTCGAAAGTGATTTGGCATTTTTATTAAAATTTGAATTTTTTAGGATTTTGTTGATGTTTTCAGAGATTAAAGGCTCGTCGATATCATCGTAGTCCATGTAAATTCCGATTCCCATATTTTCAGCCTTAACTATATTCATCTGCTGATCAGCATAGATTGGAATTCCAAGAACTGGGATGCCTTCATAAATTGCTTCTGTAGTTCCTAACAATCCACCATGTGTAATGAATAGTTTAACATTTGAATGAGCTAGAACATCTCGTTGTGGGATCCAAGGACTGATCATCACATTGTCAGGCTTATTTGGCAACGTGTCATTCTCATATTTCCACAAGACCTTCAATTTTAATTTCCCAAAAGCTTCAACGAAAGCTTCACGTTTGTCGACGGGCCAGTTTACAGCTTGTAGAATTGATCCCATTGAAAAAATTATTGCTCCATCAGTTGCTGAGTCTAGAAACTCTTGAATGTCATTTGGAAGTGGCTTTGGTTTTGGACTGACTTGAACTCCACCGATTTCAATCTAAAAAGAGATAAAGTTTTAGGGAGGATGTTCACTTTAGTTGCAACGGTCATGTTTTGGTCACAAAACAGCCTTTCTGGCATCATTAGTAAGTATTTGTGACTAATAGCTTCAAAATAGGTTTTATTGACCGAGCAATAACTACTTCGTTGTGCTAATCGGTTTTTAAAAATAGAAATATTTCTTACCATATTAGCGACAGTTGGTCTAACTGATGATGAACTAAAGTGATTGTTAATAAGAACTAAAGACACATTTTTCATTTGATCATCAAATGACAGCTGATTGTTTCCGAAATATTGATCGTAAACTGCATTCTAAAAGATAAAAATTAATTTTGAATCACTGACTTCTAGTAATTGTATGCAGCTTCAGGAGCTTGATTTTAAACTACACTGGTCGCAATCGAATTTCATTTATTCTTGAGAATATCCATCCTAGGATCGAAAATCTATGTCCTATTCATTGAAGTTTCAACAAAATTCAACTGTGAGTAGCATATTTTATCACGGATGTCCCTAGAAGCCAACCCTCAGATCTTCACATCCTTACCTGTCTCCCATAATGCACAAACTCCATAAAAATAAATTCATACTGCATCACAAGCATGTTCATTGTCCTCTCAATAAATCCCATTTTTTCGGAATATTTAACAAAATTGTGTGGAACATAAGAATAAGGAATTGGAGTTTTTGTAAGATCATTGGTCCATTTTGATGACCCAAAAGTTGCCAACGCAATTACTGGACAATTTAGATGAGATCCAAAGCCAAACAGAGCTTCAACTCCAAAAACTTCCACAATCGCAAGATCAAATTTTATTTTTTTGTTCATAATTTTTTGTAAGTTTGGATGGGAAAGTGTGAAGTTTGCCATAAATTCACCAAAGCCTGAGAGAAAGTTGATCATTTCGAAAGGAGACCAATCGGCTGTGTCGAACATGTCGAAGAGATTTCCTGTAATTAGGAGATTCATTAGCAAGGATGTTGAACTGATCAAACTATTACTAAATCTGCGTTTTACAATCTTAAAATTTTACTGATAACAGCATGAAGGGATTAGGGTGAAGTTAATTTATCATAGAAAAAAAATTTCTCATCATGTTGTTCCCCCCTTGCTAAAAATTGATTTTATAAATTTACCATCATCCCCATAATCCAAGAACACATCATGATAATTCTCTATAGGTGATTTCTGAGGAAACGGCGACACCACATGCACTTCATGGCCTTTTTCAGCTAAAGTTTTCATCACAGAATGTCCAATTGCAAAATGTGATTTGCATCTTGTCAATGAAATTTGAAAATTTGTTTTATTTTTAAAACTAGAACTGATATGATGTAATAATACCTTGTAGGAAATACTCCTAAAATTCTATAAGCATTCACAGAGGATTCAAAAATCACAGATACACTTAGAATAAGGAAAACTAGTTTAACTTCTTTCATGATTAATTATTGACTTTTTAGCACTAAAAGATGATTTTTTTCAAGATCACAAGCTTAATTTATATTCCTTAAGTTTCACTTCACGTCTTTAAACTTATCACTATGAATCTAAACAATCAAATGAAAATTGTAAATTTCCCTATTCAAATTAAAAATGTCACTTGACTTGGATGCAGAGCCATAGTCAGGATTATTTTTTAAACAATTTTCGAAAAATAATTTTATTTATTTTTTAATATTTATTATTACTTTCTTAAAAAGGAGCCCCCTTCATACATCCCTGCTCAAATGCATTGAAAGCAATTTAAAAAGTGACACTTGAATAAAGAAATTGCAGTCTACACATTTGAATTTTTGCCAATGAATGAAAGAATTTGCACGACTAGCAAAATCACATTTGTGAATGAAATTTAATAAATATATAAAATTAAAGTTCCTGTAAAAGTATAGGTTCAGTGTCATTTTAGACAATTATTTTATTGGGAAAATTATGAACTTTTGTTTACATTTCGTCAGTAGAATCGGGTTGATTAATTGACAGGTAAAGTAATTTTATGAATTTAAAGCAAGCAACTATAAAGGCTTACAAAAATAAAAAGTTTTTATTGCTTATTTAAACTTATTTGTTACTAAATCATATTTTATGACTCAAAATTAAAAAAATATATTGAATACAAAAATTGGGATACCTCGGATAGCCCTTAAAAACCAGAGCAAGAAGCCAAACTCTAAATTTTTATCGATTTTGAATGACGGAGTTGACTGCGAGTCGACTCGACTTCATACAAAATTTCATCTATTCAAGCTCTGCTAGAAACCATTAGATTTCATTAAAAATTGACATAACTTAAAATTAAAACTTATTTCACACTTTTCTTCTGCTCATTAAGCTTCAAGACATCATTAACCATTTTTTCAAACCTTCTTTCCTTATAATCTTTAATGATCAAATCCTCACGTTTTTTAACTAACAGTGTCCGCATGTTCCTTAATATTTCTGAATCCATAGTCATGTGACGATCGAAATAACACAAAATGCTTTGAAGCCAGTAATTTTTTATTGCTTTACCATCACTTGTCATTGCTTCAGGAGTCAGATTTGGTTTTAAACAAATCTTACCATCTGTCAAAGTTTCAGAAAATAATGACACTGCATTATGCATTAAATCATTAATTTTGCCTGTTCCACTGTAAAGATTCTCTTGATTACACATTACGGATATCCTTTCACATAAATCGATAAGTTTTGAATCTGATTTAATTTCTTGAGTGTCAGAAACAGTCAGAGCATTAAGTAAGTTAAGCAATAAAAGAGCAACAATGAATAGGATAAGAGCACAAAGTCCAATGTATGTATTGTCATCCACAGATGCACTAATGCCCAACACACCAATATATTCAAGTGGATTTTCTATAACTTTCCTTGAAGTTAGTTCAGCTTTCGTTATATTCATAATTAAAGTTGTGCTCATAAGTCTTGCAATATTTTCTCTATATAAAGTATAAGAAGCTAGCATGAACCCAACAATCATGATGGAAAAAAATGCCAGTGATTTTAAAAATGTCCCAAGAACCTTTCTGAAGATCTTTGCATGCAATGAAACTGACAAATATGGCAAGTATCCAAATCGATGAAAGCATTCAGAAGTTGCTAGTATAATTATCAAAGTTTGAAGAATCGGAAGTTCAATTTCAGTAAATAGAAAAATTAATGAAGCAATAATCAAGATAAGATCCATCCAGTTTGAGATTGACAAGAAATAGGATTTTTTGGACAGTGAAAATTGACAAGCTTCGCGAACAATCATTAAAAACACACTAAAGAATGCTAGTCCCAAAAATATTCTGTTGATCAAAATGACAACTTCACTTTCCTTCATTATTTCACCATCCTCTGCATTTGAACTTTCCAAAACCTTCTTATTCTCCTTAATGTACCGATCAATCATAATATACGGTATGAAAGTGAGTATGAATAGTAGAGTTGTCATTAAATTCACATGTAGGACGAACCTTATCTTTTTCCACTTTAGAAAAATGAATGATGACAAAACAGGATGCATGACAAACTGCCTGTAGTCATAATCTTCAGCCAGTGATTTAATTACGTTCATCTCTAAATGTTGCTGCTTTTTAACGTCTTGTGTTGTTTTGGTTAAATTATTCTGTTCAAGATCTTCCTGAGAGCCTTTCCTGGAATTTCCATTGAAGGTGTGCATTGAAATGTTGTCCTTTCCCTGACTATTGGCTCTAACATCCTTACAGCTTTCAATTGGAGGCATAAGAAATCCATAATTCGCTGTTATTTCATATTCTTTACTGTCGTGAAACTCATCATTCGATGTGATGGAACTGTCAAGTAGATCACTAAGCAGACTATTTCGAATTTTAGTCACAACATGTCCGATATATGCACCCTTTTCGAGCAACTTGAATGTCATGTAGTCAACGCTGTATTTAACTGCGTAATAAATCACTGGTTTTCCTTCCTCATCGAGTGCATTTAAATAGTCTTGATCACATCGGATGTCATTTATTAAAAGTTTGAAGCACTTCTTCTCATTTTTACTCATTTTTATTGTCTTACAATTTTTAACGCTTTGGTTTCCTTTAACATTTGAGAAAAACTGATGCAGTAATGTCTTATCTTTGTTCTCACCACAGTAGAACTCAATTTCGTATTCACTTTTGCATTGAATGTTTCTGTACTGAGCTGGAAATTTTTGATGTTCTTTAGCTAGCAAGAAGGACTTGAAGATTCCAACATTTGCATTTTTATACGCTAGAAATGGAGGTGTGATTCGATTTGCCTTATTTGCTACAGGCAACCTGTTAAAGTTAATTCTTTTTTTGATCAGTAAATCGACAATGTTGATGTAAGATTTTTGGACAGCAATTTCTAAGTAAGAATAGCAATCGTCAAGGAAACTTTGATCACTGTCTGGTTTGTAGTAGGAGAATAATGTCTCAAATTTATTTATATCTCCAGATTCGAGAAGTTTTTTCATTTCTTCATAGCACATGACGAATTTCTCTCTTTCTGGTATTGTTGCTATGTATTTATCTTTCACCATTTTGATAATCTCATCGCCTTTATGAGTATGAAAGTCAATTGTCGTTGACGCTAAAAGTTTGTCAAATACCTCTTGTCCGTTTTCCCATTTCAGTAGCTCTCTAACCACAATAAAGAACGGAGTCTCCTGATCATCATTTGGAGAATTTATGTTGCATCCATAAGACAGTAAAGTACACATCAGCTCAATTATATCGTCCTTATTTTCATCGTTGAGTTTTTCAGCTATTATATGCAAGCAGTTTTGATCACGAATATCCTTTACATTCACATATGGAGAAGCTTTAACTTTGGATTCATCGATACGTAGGAAACGCTCAACAGCTTTCAAATTTTTAATACAAAGTGATTTTATCAGGTAATGTATTGGATATTCGTTGTTCATATTTTTCTGTAAAAATAATAAATAATTTTCAAACTTATTCAGCAGCCTGGAATAGTCTAATTTCAACATTAATGTCCAGTTTAACTATCTTAGCAATAGAGCTCAGTAGCGAATCTAGAGCTCTGTTAGTGCTCCACCGAAATGATTCTCAAAAATTACTCACCACATTAAAGTCAGCTCCATATTCAATACATTTTTCGATGTACCAAGCTGAGTCAGGCGTATTTAAAATTCTTTCAAATACTGTTCTAGGGTCATTATCTGCCGTAGCATTGGGATCAACTTCAAATACTTCCAATGCTTCAATAAATCTTTTTTGTGACTTTTCTTCAAATGCTTTGTGTAAATCGCAAGCATGAGACATCTTCAAAAATGAAAAATTGAAGGCACTTGATTCTTAACTTTCACAATTTTTATTATTTAAATGATTAACTCGAGCAAATAAACTAGACTGAAATAAAAATATTTAATTCAAGCCTTAATATAATGATCCAAATTCATATTATACATACTACAGACTCATGTGAATCACAGCGCGATGATAAAGTTATGATTTGTCGAAGAGACATTTGGTGAATTTTATGGAAAAAACAAATTTTATCAAAGCTAAAACTTTATCTGAATGGAAAACGTACAAACGTGTAAACTGCACATAAGTGTTATTGTATATAATTATGAATATTATTAATGTGTGTTATGATGCTTGGGTTTTACGATAATTGTACTATACAATTATAATATAAATCATTGTGAGGAATTAATAGTAAATTAGGGTATTTTCCAATAGAAGACTCATTGGATAAGAAATGATCGGGAATTGATGTTTCTAAATAAATCCTGTGATGCATTTAGAAAGAATATAAAATCTAAAAGAGTATGACGAAGCAAGTGTTGAAAAAAATAAAGTAGCATTCGCACTTGAATGACCGACCACACTGCCGAGCTTTTGGTCAAGTCCCTGTCATCAAAAGAAACAATGCCCTGCAGCAAACATTAAATACATTAGAAACCCAATGCGGACATATTCACACCGTACCATCAAAAGTCTTATGGATAGACCAAGATTTGCTCAGCATAAGTTTGAAGGGTGGGCATGAAGTACGACCGAGACCCATATTGACACAGTTCAAAAAATATACCTAATTTATGTCATAATTATGTCAGCTACAAAAACACTTATTTTGAATTTTGTCACCCTCGGGAACACTATGATCTAGTATAGCTGATTTTGGTCCAAATCTCGGCCATACTTAATACTTATTTGAACCATATTTTCTCGTAAATGTTAAAATATTATTAAAAAGTAATTAATCCTGAATTATGCTATTTTGAATCGCTATTCGCAAACATCCTAAAATTTTTTTGAGCAAAGAACCAAGTAGGAAATACATTTTCAATTTTGGACTAGAGGCGACCTTGGTCTTGGTTCTTTGCTCAAAAAAGATTTTAAAGAAATTTTAAGATGTTTTATTTGTATTTGTTTTAAGCACTTAAATATTTATGCAAAGTTTCAATCCATTTGTATAAACCCTCGAAGAAAAAAGTGACAAAATTGATTTTGACTAGGGTCGCCCCTAGTCCAACATTGAAAATGTATTTCCTTCTTGGTTCATTGCTCAAAAAAATTTTAAGATTTTTTATTTGTATTTGTTTTAAGCACTTGAATATTTATGCAAAGTTTCAATCCATTTGTATAAACCCTCAAAGAAAAAAGTGACAAAATTGATTTTGACTAGGGTCGCCCCTAGTCCAAAATTGAAAATGTATTTCCTTCTTGGTTCTTTGCTCAAAAAAATTTAAGGATGTTTTATTTGTATTTATTTTAAGCACTTAAATATTTATGCAAAGTTTCAATCCATTTGTATAGACCCTCGAAGAAAAAAGTGACAAAATTGATTTTGACTAGGGTCGCCCCTAGTCCAAAATTGAAAATGTATTTCCTTCTTGGTTCTTTGCTCAAAAAAATTTTAGGATGTTTTATTTGTATTTGTTTTAAGCACTAGAATATTTATGCAAAGTTTCAATCCATTTGGATAAACCCTCAAAGAAAAAAGTGACAAAATTGATTTTGACTAGGGTCGCCCCTAGTCCAAAATTGAAAATGTATTTCCTTCTTGGTTCTTTGCTCAAAAAAATTTTAAGATTTTTTATTTGTATTTGTTTTAAGCACTTGAATATTTATGCAAAGTTTCAATCCATTTGTATAAACCCTCAAAGAAAAAAGTGACAAAATTGATTTTGACTAGGGTCGCCCCTAGTCTAAAATTGAAAATGTATTTCCTACTTGGTTCTTTGCTCAAAAAAATTTTAGAATGTTTTATTTGTATTTGTTTTAAGCACTAGAATATTTATGCAAAGTTTCAATCCATTTGGATAAACCCTCAAAGAAAAAAGTGACAAAATTGATTTTGACTAGGGTCGCCCCTAGTCCAAAATTGAAAATGTATTTCCTTCTTGGTTCTTTGCTCAAAAAAATTTTAGGATGTTTTATTTGTATTTGTTTTAAGCACTAGAATATTTATGCAAAGTTTCAATCCATTTGGATAAACCCTCAAAGAAAAAAGTGACAAAATTGATTTTGACTAGGGTCGCCCCTAGTCCAAAATTGAAAATGTATTTCCTTCTTGGTTCTTTGCTCAAAAAAATTTTAGGATGTTTTATTTGTATTTGTTTTAAGCACTAGAATATTTATGCAAAGTTTCAATCCATTTGTATAAACCCTCAAAGAAAAAAGTGACAAAATTGATTTTGACTAGGGTCGCCCCTAGTCCAAAATTGAAAATGTATTTCCTTCTTGGTTCTTTGCTCAAAAAAATTTAAGGATGTTTTATTTGTATTTGTTTTAAGCACTAGAATATTTATGCAAAGTTTCAATCCATTTGGATAAACCCTCAAAGAAAAAAGTGACAAAATTGATTTTGACTAGGGTCGCCCCTAGTCTAAAATTGAAAATGTATTTCCTTCTTGGTTCTTTGCTCAAAAAAATTTTAAGATTTTTTATTTGTATTTGTTTTAAGCACTTGAATATTTATGCAAAGTTTCAATCCATTTGTATAAACCCTCAAAGAAAAAAGTGACAAAATTGATTTTGACTAGGGTCGCCCCTAGTCCAAAATTGAAAATGTATTTCCTTCTTGGTTCTTTGCTCAAAAAAATTTAAGGATGTTTTATTTGTATTTGTTTTAAGCACTTAAATATTTATGCAAAGTTTCAATCCATTTGTATAGACCCTCGAAGAAAAAAGTGACAAAATTGATTTTGACTAGGGTCGCCCCTAGTCCAAAATTGAAAATGTATTTCCTTCTTGGTTCTTTGCTCAAAAAAATTTTAGGATGTTTTATTTGTATTTGTTTTAAGCACTAGAATATTTATGCAAAGTTTCAATCCATTTGGATAAACCCTCAAAGAAAAAAGTGACAAAATTGATTTTGACTAGGGTCGCCCCTAGTCTAAAATTGAAAATGTATTTCCTACTTGGTTCTTTGCTCAAAAAAATTTTAGAATGTTTTATTTGTATTTGTTTTAAGCACTAGAATATTTATGCAAAGTTTCAATCCATTTGTATAAACCCTTGAAGAAAAAAGTGACAAAATTGATTTTGACTAGGGTCGCCCCTAGTCCAAAATTGAAAATGTATTTCCTTCTTGGTTCTTTGCTCAAAAAAATTTTAGGATGTCTTATTTGTATTTGTTTTAAGCACTAGAATATTTATGCAAAGTTTCAATCCATTTGGATAAACCCTCAAAGAAAAAAGTGACAAAATTGATTTTGACTAGGGTCGCCCCTAGTCTAAAATTGAAAACGTATTTCTTACTTGGTTCTTTGCTCAAAAAAATTTTAGGATGTTTTATTTGTATTTGTTTTAAGCACAAAAATATTTATGCAAAGTTTCAATCCATTTGTATAAACCCTCAAAGAAAAAAGTGACAAAATTGATTTTGACTAGGGTCGACCCTAGTCCAAAATTGAAAATGTATTTCCTACTTGGTTCTTTGCTCAAAAAAATTTTAAAATGTTTTATTTGTATTTGTTTTAAGCACTAGAATATTTATGCAAAGTTTCAATCCATTTGGATAAACCCTCAAAGAAAAAAGTGACAAAATTGATTTTGACTAGGGTCGCCCCTAGTCTAAAATTGAAAATGTATTTCCTACTTGGTTCTTTGCTCAAAAAAATTTTAGGATGTTTTATTTGTATTTTTTTAAGCACTTAAATATTTATGCAAAGTTTCAATCCATTTGTATAAACCCTCGAAGAAAAAAGTGACAAAATTGATTTTGACTAGGGTCGCCCCTAGTCCAAAATTGAAAATGTATTTCTTACTTGGTTCTTTGCTCAAAAAAATTTTAGAATGTTTTATTTGTATTTGTTTTAAGCATTAAAATATTTATGCAAAGTTTCAATCCATTTGGATAAACCCTCAAAGAAAAAAGTGACAAAATTGATTTTGACTAGGGTCGCCCCTAGTCTAAAATTGAAAATGTATTTCTTACTTGGTTCTTTGCTCAAAAAAATTTTAGAATGTTTTATTTGTATTTGTTTTAAGCACAAGAATATTTATGCAAAGTTTCAATCCATTTGGATAAACCATCGAAGAAAAAAGTGACAAAAATGATTTTGACTAGGGTCGCCCCTAGTCCAAAATTGAAAATGTATTTCCTTCTTGTTTCTTTGCTTTAAAAAAATTTTAGGATGTTTTATTTGTATTTGTTTTAAGCACTAGAATGGTTATGCAAAGTTTCAACCCATTTGGATAAACCCTCGAAGAAAAAAGTGACAAAATTGATTTTGACTAGGGTCGCCCCTAGTCTAAAATTGAAAATGTATTTCCTACTTGGTTCTTTGCTCAAAAAAATTTTTTTCATCCAAAGTTTAATTTAAAAAAAAATCACAGTGAACTTTTAATTTGAAAAATTTGTAAGAAACGAAAGTTTTTTGCTTTTTCTGAAGCAACGGCTGTTCCTACCTTGCCTAAAAACAATACAGCTCTTCTATGGGGCTGTTCACTTATTACGTAATGCGAAAAAATGACTTTTTAGACCCCCCTCCCCCCTCGTAACGAAATTTGTATGAAAAAAAAAATTCCTTGTTTGAACCGTAACAAAATCTTAGACCCCCCTCCCCCCCTAAAAGCGTTACGTAATAAGTGAATGGCCCCTATAGAGCAGCACGAATCAAATGTAAAAAACCAGAAGTCTCTACAATGTCTCGTTATTGAGATTTCTTGCTGATTAACTTGCTTGCTTGCTTACAGAAAGCATATTTTGCGATTTTCTCAGCATTGCCTCAACCAATTTGAAATCTGTTTTTTGCAAAAGATGTGAAATTTCAGGTACAAACATTTCATGTCTGATCATTTTAAGCTATCTTGCTCCATATCCTCACAAAATTCAAAAAACTCGTTTTTCAATCTGAACAAAACCAATAGATTCACACGTGAAAACGGTGTGAATATAAAAAATTTATTGCTCTAATTTGTAAAAATAATCTTATGTTAATGCATATTAGCTTATTCCAATGTTATGACTAAAATATTTGATATTTAAGCTGCATCTTTAATCTAAACGAATAAAATTGATGGAACGATTTTGAATGCTGTTGATCACCTCGTTCATTTTAATCATGTCACGTGATAGTTTTTCATATGTTCTTTCTTTAAGTTTTCTCTTTCTCTCTGCAGCACATTCTTCTTGTTTCTTTAGCAGAATAGTGCACATGTCAATAAGGATATCTTCATTTAATTTAAGTTCGGATTTTCTGTCTCCGTTTATGTAACGATTTTTGTTTGGTTGGAAGGAAATTTTATCTTCTTTTAGAGTTTCTGAAAACATGGACATAAATTTTTTGAGATAAACACCAATTCCATGATAACGTTCGCCAACAAATCCTTCAAAAATTGCTTTCTCACTTTGATGCATCGTTAAGACTCTCTGTTGTAAATCTATCAATTTAGCATCAACTTTAATTTCATGAGTGTCAGAAACAGCCAAAGCATTAAGAAGATTTTGTAAAACAATTGTGACGATGAATGAAACAGCAGGAATAAAGCAGAATATGTTATTCCTTTTAGTTGAATATTACTTGCTTCTAGTTCACCAGTCAGCATCACAAATGATTTAACAATCGAATGTCCAACTGTATAGAAGTTATTGTATCTTTCAGCTCTTGTTTGGTTTGTCGGAATCGAGCCAAAGGAAATATTTCTTATATCGCTAGAATCTTCATTGAGAATGCAAGATCTTTTTGTATATTACCAACAAATTTACAAGTTAAGTTAATCGTACGAGTTTCATTGGCATCTTATGAATTAATGAAACTGTTGTTAGAGTCTCTTACAAATTTATCACCTTGTAGTGTGTAAAACGCTAGTGCAAATCCAATAATCATAACTGAATAAAATGCTAGTGATTTGAAGAACGTTGTAAAGACTTTTCTGAAGATCTTTGTATGCAGCGACACAGACAGAAGAGGCAGGTATCCAAGAAGATTGAAATACTCCCACATTGCAAGTAAAATAATGATCGTCTGAAGCATTCTCAAATGGTGATTTCGAGACCAAAAGTCAAGCAAAATTGCTAATGATACTAATATAAGAGCTATGTCTATCCAATTGGATCGCGATAAGATATATCTTTTGGGTGATAATATCAGTTGAGATAATTCTCGTAAAATAAGCACTGTTATACTTAAGAATGAGGCAACATAAAGTGGTTTATAAATCAAGTTCGAGCAATTGTTGTTTGATGTGGTTCGATGTTCATTGATCAGTACAAATGGAATGAACGAAAATATGTACAAAAGTGTAAATATCAAATTCAAATGTATCAGGAATCTGATCTTGCTCCATTTAAGAAAAACAAACGACGCAAGTACAGGATGCATGATAAGTCGCTGTAAGTTTGCATTTCCAACCAATTTTCGAAGTGATATCATTTCACAATCATAATTATCATGGTGCTCCTTTACGGAAAAAGGATGAAGCTTTTCGACTGACGAATTGGGAATGTTAATTGCGATCTGATTCATTCCATACTTGTTGTTAATTGACGATGGCTCTAAAAATTTATAATCCACGGTCAGTTTGAAATCTTTGTCATCCTGGAATTTTGAATTTGATGTGATGCAACTATCAAGAAAGTCACTTAACAAGCTTCTGCGGATATTCGTAATCACTGATCCAATATAAGCTCCCTCTTCCAATAACCTCCTTGTCATATAATCAACTCCGTATTTTACTGAATAATAAATTGCAGGATATCCATCTTCATCGAGTTTATTCAAATAATCACGATCACATCTTGTATTTTTAAGTATAAGATCAAAGCACTTCTTCTCATTGGACGTCATTTCACTTGTCCATTGATATTCGTCTGATTCCTTAGAATCTTTACTGCTGTAAATTTTGAATTTTTCAAAAAAATAATGAAGTAATGTTGATGATCCAAAATGTAAGCTAATGTGTGGATTTAATAAAAAAATGCTGAAAACTTCCAAATCAGCTTCCTTGTAGGCCCAAAATAGAAGTAGAATTTTTGAATTATTTTCTTCCAGCCTTAGATCATTGATATTTTTTGATGATGCACTATTTACTATTAGATCAATGACGTTGATGAGCCTCGATTCAATAGCAAATTCTAGAAAATCCTCACAATTGGTCTTGTAAGCTTGATAGCTTCCTTTCAGTTGTGGAAATTCATCTTCAAATTTATTAATGTCACCATTTCGAAGTAAATCCTTCAAATTTAGGAACGAAACATCAAAAATTTCTTCATCTTCAAATGCAGTAACAACTTTAGTTAATTTGGACTTTCTTCGTTGATCACTTGCATGATCTCTAAAATATTTTAATATTTCATTTCCATTCTTCAAATTCTGAAGTTTATTAACCAATATTGAGAATGGAGTTTTGCCTTGAGTGTCTGATGAGTTTGCATTACATCCATAAGACAATAAAATCTTCATCATCGGAAACAAAGAGTTAAAGTTCTTATCAGTTATCTTGTCAGCTAATAAATGCAAGCAATTTCTACTGTTTACATCCTTTACATTTACGGACGGTGATTGTCTTTTATCATTTATTGAAGTATCGCTAAGATGAAGGAGTTTTTGAACGGGAATGATGCCCGGGAACGGGAATATTCCCGGGAATCAACAAAAAAAAAAGTTAAAAGCTACACTTACACCATGTATTTTCTTTAGGTTTTTAAATCAAATTTAAATTCTATTTGTTTTGATTGTCAAATTGATTCTTTTGACAATAATTTCCGTTTGAAATTCAATTCTTTTTGGTTTTAGAACAATTCTTAAAGTACGATTTTAACTAGCAATCTAGTGCGATTTTTTGAGACAATATTATTAGAGATTGAAAAGTTACGTTCAGCTCTTGTAGATGTTGGTGGATTCCAGAAATATTAATTTCCAGCAAGTTTTTTTATTTTGGAAAAATTACTTTAATCCAATGTCAATTAAGTTTATTATTTTATGGACATCATACATTTAAAAAATATTTTTAAATACTTTTTCTCTTCGTTTTTCATAAATATATGTTTTTGATTTAAAAAACATCAAATTTGAGTTTAATATTTCAACTCTTAAATTCCTTAAGGGCAATTCTACAAGTAAAGGGAACTGCAGAAATTTGCATTGTAAGTTTTCGCTACTTGCAAAAATTTAATTTTTTTTTATCCGTTATATTTCTTGGATAAAAATATAGTGTTTCTTTTTATAAAGTGTATTTCTCCATTATTATTACGTTATTCGTTCTTAAAGTGTAAACTTTAAGGCAAAAAGAGGCATGAAAAACTAATTAAAATAAGTTTTTCCATATGTAAAGAATATTACAGAATAAAATTTCAACGGTAATTTAAATTTTAAATTTTTGTAAGCGCTTTAAGCTTAGTCGAAAATATGTAAAATTTCCACCGATTGACACAGTTTTTGACAAATTTTAGCTATATTAAAGCAATATTGCTATGTTTTAAGTCAAAGGTTTGTTAAAATTGTGAATTCAAACATTTTTTGGGTAGAGACACAATTCAAACAAGAAACCAAGTTAAGAAAAACGTAGTAAAATGAGTGTTTAGTGAAATATTTAACAAATTAAAGTACATTTTGTAAATTCCACCGATTGCCAGTAAAAAAGTTAAAATATCTCCTCATACATCCATTTATTGCAAACAAGTACTATTCATAATGATAAACATTCCCTTTTTACATAATTTTAATTAATTTAAATGTGTAAAAAGTCAATATTCAAAGTTTTTTTTAATAGAATAAAGAAATTTTGTAATTTTTTTTACTCGTAGAATTGCCCTTAACGTATGTTTTCATTATTATAATTTTTTTCTTAAAATTGTAGTTTTTTTCATGGAAAATACAAAATAAAAAAAAAACTAATTTGAATTGTTGGTTTTTTTTGGTATGAAAACGGATATTTCGGGAATATTCCCGATTTTAGAACCCCTATGATTGACCATCGTCAAGACAATAAGACATCGTCAAGACAATAAGACATCGTCAAGACAATTCTTCTGTAGTTTGTCAGTTAAAAAAGTCTATATAAATCCAATTTGTATCAAATATTCATACTATGTGCTTACTTGTGTGTGAACGATGAGTAATTGTTCAAATGTGAAGAAAATAACACAACATATGAAATGTTTTATGATGGCTATAAGTGCTGATCCTTAAAGAACCTAAAATATATGGCAATTTTAAAAACGAATTAGTAAAATAAAAATATATTTAATTCTTAATTAAGATTTGCTGTTTAAATTAAAGTTTCATGATATCAAATTCACTTTCTCTGTTGGAAATTAGTCAGAAAAACCTTCAAAAAGGCTCACGTAAAGCCTACGTTACGTAAAATGATTAAGTAAAATCACACAACATTAAGTACTATGTTCCGTTCGCTCTTTCTCGATGTAATTTAAAGATGGAAGTCGATGGACAGGTAAGAGAGAAGCTGATGCAAGATGAAGGAGGGATTAAACTGAGAAAGCAAATTTTTTGATGGTTCTTCTTTCATAGTTAATCATATCAAGTTTAATTTCAACCAAGGAAATGAATCAATCGTGTTTTCATTCCATTACTGCTCACATTTCAGGCTTTGAATCAGAACAGTCCGAGATAGAGGCAAAAACGTTCTTTACCACACACCTGAGCATGAAAACGAACCACAATTTAGGGTTAGGGTTAGACGCTTGTAATTAAGCTTCTATTGATTACAACCCAAATCATCAGAGGCTCATTTTTCACATTAAACTACACGATACGTCATTGGACCTGATGTAAGTCTAATGCTGTGTGTGAGAACAGGCATCTAGACAAAAAATTGCAAGTCTCATTTACGAGCAAGCAATCAATGTCCTTGATGCCACTCTACATCAAGGATGAACCAATCAATAGCCACGATAGTAAGTCTCACAGGCAGAAACACATGACTCATAGGCTCAATTTAAAAAAAAAAAAAAAAGAACAGAAAAACTTTTTAAAAAAAGGGTCAAAAGACTTTGCTCCCTCAAGTTTTACCCCTCCTCATCTTGCATCGACCCCCCTCTGACCTATTCAACGACTCCCACTCTTAATTTACATGAACAAAGGCCGACGAAATGTAAAACTCAATGCAATGCGTTTTTAAGTAATCATTTCACGTATTGCAAGCATTACGTACGCAATTGTAGGAAGTCAAATGGCTGGTTTCATTAAAGAAAAGGAATTTGAGGACTATTTATTAGTATACTTAGCTTTTTCTTCGTTGTCACTAGCGTCTTGCTTCTTTAATTGTGTCCTGGTTCCTTCAAGCTTCATCAATCTCATTTTCACTTCAATTTTACAGCTTCTTGAATTTAATTTTCTTAACTTTCAATGTTCACTCAGAAAATTTTCATTTTTTTCTTCACTTTTAATTTTTTCATCACTTTTGGCTTATTTTCACTGTTGCTTCCATTTTAGCACTTCACTATCACTTTTATCTTGAACTCCACTTCTTTTTAAGCATTAATAATGTCAAGTTCCAATTTATTTGCACCGATTTGCAACAATATTTAAAAACACGTCTTTAAAGAATTAAACTGAAGAAAATTGTGAGAAAACTGAAAGTCAAAGGTTGCTGAGAAATTTGACCTTTTTTGACTGATTGTGATTTCACATTTTTGCGTTAATTAAGGGTGTATTCAGCTCGAAAATTATCAAAAATATATAGTATTAATTCAAAATTTTAAAAGCTTTTTATTTGGGTTTTTAAATTAAATTTAAATTCTATTTGATTTGATTGTCAAATTGATTCTTTTGACAATAATTTCCGTTTGAAATTTAATTCTTTTTGGTTTTAGAACAATTCTTAAAGTACGATTTTAACTGGTCTAGCAATCTACTGCGATTTTTTGAGACAATATTATTAGAGATTGAAAAGTTACGTTCAGCTCTTGTAGATGTTGGTGGATTCCAGAAATATTAATTTCCAGCACGTTTTTTTATTTTGGAAAAATTACTTTAATCCAATGTCAATTAAGTTTATTATTTTATGGACATCATACATTTAAAAAATATTTTTAAATACTTTTTCTCTTCGTTTTTCATAAATATATGTTTTTGATTTAAGGGCAATTCTTTGGATGAGTGGAATTTGAAAAAAAAATGAGCTTTCATAATCCAATGTCAATGAGTTTTGTGTCAATAAAATGTTTTCTTTAATTTCATACAACTGTGAAGGAATAATAAGCCAAAACTTTCGTTGATCATAAATCATAATTAATTCTTTACAATTGATCTATTGAAATGTTACAACTCACCCAAATTAAGTGAAAAATTGAAAAAATATGTTTGAAAATTTTGTATTTTTTCACGGATTAAGACAAAAAAAAGCTTTCTTATAACTCGATGACACAAGGAAATTTTTCAAAGAATTAAAATATTTCATTAATTAATGACTTAAAGCACACAAAAAAGCAACCTCATTAAAGATTTTTGTCTGTTCTATAACTCAGTAAAAGTTATTCAATGTGGATATCAATAGTTTTCTCTAATTTTCGATTCTTTGGATGATGAAAATTGATAATTCCGATTTCTGTCATCGAGTTATTGACTAAAGAATCCAAATAACTTAATTAATACGGCGATTAGAAGTATATGATATCAAAAGTAGTGTATATTTTAGATTTTTACACCGATAAGAATCATAAAATCAGTGTCTCTGATGGGAAAAATCAATAAAATTTCGATTTTTTGCTGAAAATTTTCCAAAAGTCATCCATAGAATTGGCCTTAAAAAACATCAAATTTGGTGTCCATCAAGTAGAACGGTTAGGCTAGATAAAAATATTTCGTTTATTTTATTTGATTAAGAAACATTTGCACAAATTACTGACCAAGTTTGAACAATTTTCGTTAAGCCTTGTCAGATTTACAGTCGAAAGTGTTAAAAGTAAAAAATCGGCCCTAGCTCCGTTTTCAGATGCTCATATCTCAGAACTGGCAACTTCACAAATTTTAAAAAAGTTATTTTTCTGCTTTCACAAAATAGCACAAAAAACCCATATATAGTCCATCACTCAATTCGTTAGGTCACCATTCTACTTGATGGACACTCAAATTTGAGTTTAATATTTCAACTCTTAAATTCCTTAACGTATGTTTTCATTATTATAATTTTTTTCTTTAAATTGTAGTTTTTTTCATGGAAAATACAAAATAAAAAAAAACTAATTTGAATTGTTGGTTTTTTTTGGTATGAAAACGGGAATTTCGGGAATATTCCCGATTTTAGAACCCCTAATGCAGTTCAGAATTTTATGCACTGTTTCTGATTCAAAGATTTTTTTTGCACGTCCTCAACTTGGTATTTTTTTTTATACTTTTTTTTTGAAGAAAAAGAAAACAAAACCAAATCAGTTTGGATTTTTGTTTTTTATTTTAAGCTTGCTGGAAATTTCAATCTATTTTTAAACTTTTATTGTTAGCATATTAATTTTAACTAATGCAATGGAAATATGAATTTACAATTAAAAAACATTAACTTTTTTTAATGAAATCTATAAATGGCAACCTGAAAAGTTATTTAAGAAATATCTAATTTAATAAAATATCAAAGTTATATGTTACTTTACAAACAAATTTTATCATAAAACCTGGATCTTTGACTTGACTATACTCAGTAGTAAGCCAAAGAACTTAAGGTCTCAATATCAAGAACCATTCTGCAATTGATCAATTCTGGACTGTATCTTATTCATAATTTCACTTAGCTTGACAATATCATTGGCCATTTTTTCATAACGATTCTCCTTTAAACTTCTTATAACATTTTTTGCTTGTTCCTCACGTTTGTTGAGAATATGAATGCGCATATCTTGAATGATTTCTTCATTCATTTTGACATAACGTTTTAAGCAGCTCATATAATTTGGTATCCAGTCATTGGAGCAAATTTTTCTGTTCTTTACCAGAACATAGCGTCCTTTGTTAGGCTTAATTGTTATGCATCCATCACTTATAGTTTTTGGAAATAAAGAAATTATACTTTTAAGTTTCTGTCCAAATCGAGAATTCTTTTGAAAAACACTCTCTTCACTCTGTTCCATTGTCTTAATTCTTTGGCATAAATCAATCAACTTAGCATCTGATTTAATTTCTTGAGTATCAGATACAGCTAAAGCATTTAATAAATTATACAGCACAATTGTAACAAGAAACACAAAAAGCACAAAAAGAGCTTTGTATGCGATTCCATCTAATCGAACATAACTCCCCTCAAGTTCTCCAGTCAGCATAATAAATGACTTTACTACAGACAACTGAATTGTATAGAAGTTGTTAAATCGTTCATTTCTCGTGTGATTTGTTGGATAAATATCACCAGGAATAGTTGTATTACCGTTTCTTATGTCAGTTATGAACTTATCTCCATGCAGTGTATGAAAACTAAGAGCAAATCCTAAAATCAGTATTGAATAAAAAGCCAATGATTTCAGGAACGTCATTAATACTTTTTTGAATATTTTCGTATGCAGTGAGACTGAAAGAACAGGCAGGTAACCCAAAAGACTAAAATATTCTGCAACTGTAAGCATTGTAACGATAGTGCAGAAGATCCGTAACTGATGTGGATTTTTATGATCAAAAACCCTGAATAAGATGGCCAATGAGCATAATATTAGAATCATATCTATCCAATTGGAACGGCTCATGAAATATTGCTTAATTGATAAGAAAAATTGTGAAGATTCTCTGGCAATGATCAGCAATAAGCTGATACAAGATAAAATGTAGAATACATAGTAGATTGTAGATTTAGGTCTAAAATTCGATCCAAATGAAGAGACATTTAAAATTATCTCTGAATTTCTACTTCTAATTGAATTCTCGATTGATTCTTGAAGCAAATAAATAAACGGGATGAAAGTAAACATGTAGAATAGAATCATAAATAAGTTTACATAAACTAAAAAGTTTATCTTATTCCACTTTAACAGGATGAATGAAGATAAAACTGGATGAGTCACTAGTCTTCTTAGTTCAACATCATCAGCAATGTCACTCAATGGCTTCATTTCTTCGTAGTTCTTTTTTAATGGAATAATTTTTGCAATCTCCAACTTTGTTTCTTCATCTTTTGTTGCTGATTTTTCAGCTTTTACTGGAGGTATCAAAAATCCATAATTCAGCTTTATTTCGAAATCTTTATCATCCAGAAAATGATTGTCAGTGCTAATACAATTATCAAGCAATTCAACTAGCATACTTTTTCTGATTTTTTTGATAACCGGTCCAACGTATGCACCAGCTTTAAGTAATTCAATAGTCATATAATCCATTTTATAATGAACTGAATAGCTTAATACTGAATAAATTCCTTCATCCTTTTCATTCAAGTATTTATGGCTGCATGTTGATTTATTTGTAAGTAAAAAGTTGAAGCATTTATTCTCATCTTGAGACATTTCTCTTGAATATACAAAATTTTTGAACGAAGTTTTGTTGGATTTTTCCTTAAATTCGTCAAAAAAATGATGAAAAAGTGTGAATTTATGCCCAAATCTATCAACATGCAGCTTTATATTAGGTTGCTGAATTAATGCATTCAAGATTCCAATGTTTGAATTTTTGTATGCCCTGAAAATTGGTGGGAGTCCATTTGAACTTAATCCCGATATTCTATTGACATCCATACCGTTGGAAATGAGTAGATCTACAATGTTGAGTAATGAATTTATAATCGCAATTTCCAATAAGTCAGAACAATGTTCATTAAACTTGTCTGTGGATGTGATCGAATTTTTAAAGAACTTGAATTTTGTTTCAAACTTGTTAATATCGCCTTCAGTTAGAAGCTCTAGCATTGACTCATAATTTACAACCAAATCTTTCTTTTCTTTATGTTTCGTAGCTTCTTGATTTAAGATTTTTTTAAGAACTTCATTATTTTCATGTAAAAAATAATCCACGTCTCCATTTTCAACTAGGTAAATAGTAATGTCATCCGCTTTCTCAAGTTGATGAACTTTTTCAGCAACAATAGAAAATGGAGTCTTTCCTTCATTATTTGCAGCATTAATATTGCATCCATGAATTATTAATAGCTTCATCATCGGATATATGGTTTCAAATGACTCATTAGTCAACAGTTCAGCTAGCATATGCAAAGCATTCCTTCCTGTTGAATCTTTAACATTTACGTAAGGAGAAGATTTTGCCTTGATTTTATTTATTGAAAATAAATTCTCAACTGCTTTTAGATTGTCAATGCATTGTGAATCAATAACAAAATGCAATGGATATTTGCTCGAGTTTCGTTTCTAAAATTAGAAAAAAATAAATTAAAAGCTGAACATTAAACAAGTCTTATAAAGGTTCACTTTATTTCTTACCATATTAAAATCTGCCCCATGTTGTAAACATGCTTTAATAAATATTCCAGATCCCGGCGTGCCTAATATATTTTCAAAAATTGTGCAGTCTTTTGCATCAATTCTAAAATTTGGATCTGCTTTGTAAACTTCCAATTCTTCTATAAACTTTCCTAAGTTTCTTTCATTGAAAGCACTGTACATTTCTAAATTATGTAACATTTTTCTCCTAATTACTTTTGCAAATATTACTTGGAGTATAGTCTTGTTCTTTACTTCCTGTATTCCTCAATTGCTTGATAAATTATTACCAAAAATTTCACTTTTGCACTAATTCACTTAAAATTGTTTTTGTTATTCTCCTTCAATATTTCTATACAAACAAATCAATGCCGTGTGATCAGCACGAATCATCAAATAAGACTGAAAGATCACTTTCGAAATGAGTGTAATGAAGTTGAGAGCTGACTTGTCAACAGTTGAAATTTTCAATGCAAACTTTTAATCAACATTTAAAAAAACATTCATGGTTTCATACGAAAATAAAGTAATTTCTCTATCAAACCACTTTTAAATCTTATAACTGCCTAATATGGCAATAAATACCAATTAACACTATAATTGAGAAAGAATTCGCCACTCTAATTTATTGCTTACCTCAAAGAATTTCATTTGCTACATTCGCGAAAACAGTGTTTGTGAAGAATCCAGCAATCATTGATTCTACAAATCTTTTTGTCAGCATGTACAAGTTTCAATTTTTAAACATAAATCTGAAGTGAACATGTATGTTGACTTTGAAAATCATGATTTTTTTTTCCAATCACAACAGTTGAGTTTGATCAATTATTTTCACAACTCTTCATGATCAACATTTACAATAGATCCAAATAAGGTTTCTCAGCTAAATTGAATTAATTGATTAAACGTTCTGAACGCAGAAATCACATACTTTTTGTGCCATAGAAATTTCTCATTTTGATCTCGTTATGTTCAATGTTTTTAATGATCTCGATGTTTATTTTGAATAACATGCTGTTATGACGATTGTGTACTGCACAGAACAGTTTTCAACCAGCTTTAGATCACTGCAAATAAAATTTTATTTAACAAACAATTGACTTACAATTTTATGGAACTTTAACACTTTGTAGCCAACTTCATGATGAGCAAATTTAATTCAAATAGTCAAAAACTGTTAAATGAGAATTATATTTTTCAACCGGCTTCAACCTTTATTTTCTGACATCAATCAATTAAAATTTGTATTCAAAGCTTTCTACGATTGCTTTTGTTTCGTTTTCAAACATGTTTTACAGAAAATTTTCTTTACAATTTTTCCAATACACCAAATAGGGACAAAAATCACTAAAAATGCTATCGCAAGTATCACAGCATAAATATCTAAATTATTATACTCAATATAGCTTAAATGTTGAGCAGAAGTTTGCATGAAATGAGCTCCTTCATGCCTAATCACATACTCAATCCAAAACATTGCTTTCTCCATTGGCATTTGAGGCTGATCGAGAAGGCGATTCTTGATTTTATCGACATTTATTTGATACTTTTTGTTGGTTAATGCTTCATTTAAAGCCCATGTGAAGGAAGTCTCTGTTAGATTTGTAAATAATACTTGAACACCCCATCCGAGTAGTTCAGCTCTTGCCATATTCATCATTTGATCACCGAAAATTGGGATTCCAACAATTGGCTTTCCTGAGTGTGTAAATGCAATTTTTGAGCATGTGATTATTCTTTATTCCTATTAATTCTTACCTCTCATAATAGATTCAGTAGCACTAAGTAGCCCTCCATGAGTCACAAACAATTTCACATTTGGATGTGCAAGGATGTCATCTTGAGGCAGCCATTTTCTGACCATAATCCTCTTTTCATCTACAACAAGTTCCTCATCCCATTTCCAAATAACTTTTTGCTTTAATTTTGTCAGCGATGAGATTATGTGCTTCTTCTTTTCTGCGCTCATTTTCGATGGTCGTAGATTTCCACCAAGCGAGAAGTAGACAACTCCATGCTGAGCTGATTCGATGAATTCTTTTATGTCTTTAGGTAGAGGATTAGTTGAGTTTTTGACATGGAAACCTCCAATTTCGATCTAAATTTTGAAAATTTAAAAGGTTTGAGAGATTCTGAGTCTCAATTACTCACCATATTCGGAAGATAAGCTTGTGGATAATTCAAACTATAATGAGTATTTAAAAGCACTAATGACATTGAATGTCTCAGCATATGTCTGAATGATGGCTTATCAGCTTTGAAGTATTTATCGTAAATTTGACCTTGAAGTGGATAATGATACACATAGAACATTAAGTCCTCAAAAACTGTTGTTATCACATTTTCCATTCGTTCTGAGAAGCTCATTCTGTCAGTGAAGCTTAAGAATGGATGGCTGCAAGAGGCAATTTTGAGGTTAGAACAAATTCAGGGGACGATGCATCTTAAGTCAAAACCTAAGTTGACAATAAATACAAACCAAACAGTTGACAACGGCATTGGAGCATGAATCATATCATTAATGTACTTAACCTGCCCTAATGTACTCATTCCGATAATTTTACATCCAAACTGAGCGCCAAAGCCCAACAAACTTTCATTCATTAAAAATTCGATAATGCACAAATCAAATTTCTCGTCTGATTTAAGCAATTTCTGAACAGCTGTGTCACTAAGTACACTATTTTGCATTCTTGCTATATTTTCAATCCAATATTTAAGCATTATGAATGGGTTAACATCTGTAGCATCAAATGACCCATCTACTTCCTCATTAAATGCATCAAATAAGTCTTGAGACGTGATAGCGACATCCTTATAATTTTCATGTGGCTGCTTTTTGAATGGAAATGGACTAAGATAAGTCACTGAATGACCTCTCTTAGCAAGTTCAACAAACAATGACTGTCCCAAAATCGAGTGTGACTTGCTAGGATATGGAAAGACTCCCAAAATCTTTGCACTTTGGATTTGTGAGACCGAAAAAAGCAAGAATAAAGCACAAAAAAAAAATTTCATTTTTCAAACTTTGTGTTTCTAAGAGTTGCTCGTTAAGTACTGAAAGGGACTTGCCTGCTCATATTAAATTCGAATTGAAACCTCTAATCAATTTTGAGATAACAGAATTGAAATTGATAAATATGCGTGACTGTATTCGCTCTCTATACATTCACGATTTATGCACATCAAAATCACTTTCTGTTTGTCAAGGTTGAAATAATAAACAACAGTTACATGCTTTATTGGGACTTTATTTGATTGGGTTCATTGAGCGGTTATCTTTAGTTTTGGTTGTGGAAGTTCCTTTTTGTTTTTGTGCTTATTCATGAGTTAAAAGTTAAGGTTGATTAAATTATGACTCATCAGCTATCAGTAAGCTTCATTGAGTCGATTAGAAGAATGGATACAGATAGGAATCTCTTAAGTTTACACTGTTTCAACGCTTTCGATAGCCTTTAGCTTGCATAACTCTAAACTTTCTCAATAAATTTTAGATTTGATAAGAAATTTTGATAAGAATTGCATAATTACGATAAAGAATATTTTGAAACTTTGTATCACCTTTTAACATGAATTAGGTTCCACGACTAATTACTGAGAGTATCTTAGTCCATCTTTTCATGAATCATTGAAAGAATAAATCTTTTAAGTTTGATTAAAGTTTAAACTTCTTAGAATCTTCTAGTTTGTTGAATATCATTCAGATCAACTTCTTAAGCAAAAAGAAAGGCGTAAAAATTATCAAAGTTATAGTCAAAAATACAGAAAACAAAGTATCAATGTTGACTTAATAAGTTCGCCAATAGCAATAGTTGTATAGTTTCACGGTGGGTTTTTCAACTCTTTACCTTCGAGTGATATCACAATGACCTTGAACGTAAAATAAATGTTGATTATTCATTACTCACTCAAATATTTACTCTGGAATTTCCTCATGACCAAATCTTGCCAGTTCCTTAAACAGTTCAAGTCCTAAATGTGAATGAGATGTTGATTGAATAGTAAAGATTGCGAGAACATTGGTTCAGCTTTTCAAACCACTGCCATAAAGTCGTTGTGGATAGAATCTTTACACGAGACCACAGATCGTGCGACTTAATGACAAAGATTGCAAATTCTGGTTTTTAGTAATCAAAAAAAAAAAGATTAACAAATGCCGAACCTTCTGCTTTACGTCATGAACACTTGTTGATTCTTTTCGTTTTGTTTTGTTCTCTTGATTCTTCTATTTGGTGAGTTTTACGTCACTGTTTTTGTCGACGTCTTTTAATCGCATTATCCTAAAGAACTGTGTATCTATGACGTTGAAAATTGGAAGATTGAGTTGGTGCAACGTGATCTGGGTCTACAACATTATGAATCGTTATCTAATGATGTCCTTCAAGATTTGGGATTTTTAATTAAGCTTTATAGGTAAGATGAGAGTCCAATGAAGGGAATGAAAGTGGTTCAGTGTCGGATAAGAGTCTTATAAATCTAGTTTAATGGGAGTTTTATTAAAATTGTCAATATAAGTTTATCAATCTGCATGTCACTTACTTATGCTAATTACAAGAGCCAACAGTGTCTACTTGTATATAAATAAGCTTATTACTCAATCTATAAAGCTTTTTGAGTACAAATTGAGAGAACTGCAAACAAACAAGCTCTGGAAAAGCTTTCAACTTCTTGTGCGTTTGTATTAGTGTAAAATTAAGTTTACTTATGATCTGTTTTTATGAGAATCAAGTTGTAAAGCAACAAACAAGTCAGTCGATCGTCAGAGTCTAAAGAGTGAAGCAGTGAAAAAGAAAATAAAAACAAGATTGCATTGAAAATTTAAATATAAAAAACATATTTTGACAAGTTCGTGGACATAAAGAAGCCAAAAGAAATATATTTTAAGTGTATAATAGTCCATAAAGTAAGTAAAATTCATGAGTTGAATACGAAATTAAAATAAAAGAAGTTATTGAGAGTGGCAAATTAAAAATCAGACAATGAGTATTACAAAACATAAGACTTAAAGTGTGTGGATGTGGGTGTAAAAATTCAACAATAATAATGATGAAATGGGTAAATTTGAAGACTGACTTTTTTTCTCTTCCATTTTACTTATGATTCAATAAGTTTATTGTGAAAGTAAATAACCAGGTATTCGGGGGTGCTCAGATTTAATAACTTGATTTTTGCAATTTTCTTTTAATTCATATGTTTGCAACGGAAATTTATAATTCAAATATTTAACGCACTTTTTAAATTCAAATTTTTTTGTAACGGAGGTTCTCAAACCGAGGACCCCTAAAGTATGTTACATGACGAGTACCGGAATAAAAACAGTTTACGCTCAATGCTGAGTGTGTGGAAATAAGTTGTAGTATGGAAAATCCCAATTTCATTGATATTATTCTCAATTGTTGACCTTAATGCTACGAAAAATGCAATGAGTACATCTCAAAGATCTCGTGTACTCAGCTTCGACATTTATTTGTTTTTTGGAACTGAATCGACCCGTGACTTGATAATAGCATCTCTTATTACGTAATTTAAGTACCAACATTTAATAGCTTTGTATTTTATGCTGTATGTTTTGTTTCTTTTATGTGAAATTTTTCTCATTTCCGTGAATTATCGCATTTATGTGCATTGTCTGGTTCCGGTTGAGTTCGATTTTTAATTTGATTCTAGTTACGGAATGTCTTGAGCGGAAAATCACTTGATGAAGCAATTTAACGTACTTTTGACATTCAAATATTTCACGGGGTAATTTATACGCTTTGTGAACATACTTTACTGGCTAATTATCGCGTTGTTGCTGAACAAAAAAATTTGTTAACTCAATTAAGAGCAATTTTATGAGCCAGAAGACACAATGTTCATTACATAATGTCATTATCTTTGAGTTTTAAATTTTAACGTATTTTCAAATTTCATATCTGCAAGGCTGATTCTACGCTTAATTCTTTCAATATTTTCCAAAAAGTTTATTTACATTTCACAATACAGCAAAAACTAAGTTAATTAACTCACCAGACGTGCGAAAATATTATTTAATCCACTCGATAACACATCAGTAAGTCCATCTACAATCTTAAAACGTGATCCAGTCGTTTAAATTGCATTAATACTACCAAAAATCACACAAATGAGAAAATTATGCAAATTAAGATCCATTAAGGTTTCTTCAATCATCCAAAGTAAAGCTACACATGTCTTAAACATGCTAAAAATAGTGAAATTATGAATCCGGCATTTGACATATTGCAATTAAGGTAGCTATTACATAGAGATTTAAATGGTCATAAATGCTTGCGTCTTTTTTACGGAAGCAAGCAATGAGATCATCGACTATGCATGCAAGACGATTGGGTACGATAGAAAGAGAAAGTGAAGTCCGTAAAACTGTCTCAATGCGGTTTTGTGACGTCACTACAGATGATTTCGGTATGAATCACTGGATGTTTGTGGGAGACAAAGCAAATAGCTTTACTACGACTTATGGCTGATTTTGTTTGCATAATTCATTTCTGTGAATGAATAAATACTTTGGGATTTCCATAAATTCATGTACGCGGTATTTCCAAGCTTAATTTAACTATTTTTTTCGTCACTTTTTAGGTACCAAATTTTATCATGAGGATCTTGTGGATAACAGTGATATGCTGCCAATTATTTACAGTCATTCCATTCGTACGATCTCAATTGTGTCTAGCCGATGACATCAAAAGAAATACGGAATATAAGTACAGAGCTAAGAATCTTTATAAAGGATTAACAATATTCACAGCAAACTTCCTTGAAGCAATGCACAAAGGCAATCCAAATGAAAATCTATTCTTCTCGCCATTCAGTCTCTATCATGCATTGTTGCTTGCTTATTTTGGAAGTGCTAATCAGACGGAAAAGGGATTAAAAGTAAGTTTATTGTTGTTCAGGTCATTGGCAGTGCTTTAACTGTAATGTTTATACTTTCAGGAAGTTCTGCAGCTTCATTGGGCTAACAGTAAAGCTGATGTCTTTAAAGGATATCAATTTGAGAAGAAATATCGTGATAATTATGAAGCAAACTCATCTGTCGAATTCTCGTCCATTGATCGATTCTATTTTGATGAAAATATCCAACTTAATCCATGCATTGAGGATGTTGTTGTGGACGAGACGAGAAAATTGGATTTTAAGAATCAACCAGAAAACTCACTGAAGGAAATTAATTATTTTGTAAATGAAGCGACGAAAGGAAATATCCCTAAATTATTCGGACCTGGAGATGTGAATCAACAGACACAACTTGTCTTGGCTAATGCTGCATATTTTAAAGGATCATGGGCATCTAAGTTCGATATTAAAGATACAAAACGAGAGATTTTCTATTCAAAACCTGACGAATTACATTTTGTTCAAATGATGAGCAAGAATGGATCTTATAATCATGGTAAGTTGTACCTTAATACAATTCATAACTTACACGAAAAATTCAAAAATTAACTGTCGTTTGAAATTCAAAAGTTCAAACTAAAAAATCAAAGTTCAAATTTTGAACTTTACAATTCATTTGAATTTCAAAAATCCGTTAAATATAGAAAAACATTTTTGACTAATTTCGATTCCTAATTTCAGCTGCAAACGAACGTCTAGGCTGCCACGTTTTGGAAATTCCATATGAAAAGTCTGAAAAAGTTAATATCAACATGATTGTCTTCCTGCCACCAGCTGTTGGTGAAAATGCACTTGAAAAAGTCCTCAATAGTCTTACACCAGAAGCATTACATGAAGCTCTTCAGGATGGTTTCGAACGTGAAGTTCAACTCAAGATTCCTAAATTTTCAACTGAAAAGACCATTGAGCTACTTCCTGTTCTCCGAAGAATGAGAGTTGGTGATTTATTTGATAGTTCTGCAAATCTTTCGGGATTCTCAACAGCTACAAATCTTCACCTTGATGATGCAATTCAAAAGGCTAAAATTACATTAAATGAGGAAGGATCAACAGCAGCAGCAGCAACTTCATTATTCAGCTTCAGATCATCAAGACCTGCAGAACCTGCAGTTTTCCATTGTAATCATCCATTCCTATACATGATTTATGACCAAAATTCAAGAGCTATTTTATTTGCTGGAATTTATCGTGGACCAGACAAGAATTAAGGAACTTGATGGCAAATTTAATTAATTATAGTTTAGAAATTGTTTGTGCTCGAGTGTGGCAAATTGTGAAAAAATTGTGCTGTAAATTATTTAAAACAGAAGTGATGTGCAGACATGAGCAATAAGAATGCTGTCTTATGATATTAAAAATTAATAAAAACTGGTTGTGAAACCGCTGACAAAAAATGTGAAATAACTCGTCTTTAAATCTTGAATTAAGTATTTACACGTGTGAGAATGCATGGAAATTACAATGCTTGGAAAAACCTATTAAATAACGATGAACTTGATATGTCCCAGATTCCAGAAATAGCTTTAAAGTCGTTTGACAAAAAGTAGATTTTTGGTGGGATTTTCTTGAATTTTTATCAGCTTGTGAAAGCATCTGAAATTTACACAGCATGTAAAGTTTGTCTGTAATTTTAACGTAAAATTCATTTTTGAATTTTGGAACACATTCAAAATTCGAATTCAGAAAATTCGTTAAAATTTAAATATCAAAAAGCCGTTCAAATTCAAAATTCTGCAAAAATTACCAAAATCAATTACATCAAATGAGTCACATTAAAGCTGTTCTCAGAACTCAACCTGCTCATTAGCTCAATTAATCATCGTACTTCACGCAAAAAAATTTGTTAAATTTCCAAAAGCAGAATAAATCACAACTTTTAATCTTATTAAAACTTTTTATATTTTATTTCCATTTTATGTTGATTCCGAAAAAAACAAATGATTAATAATTTTGGTATTCTTTATAGTTTTTGCATCTCATCGATTCTTTTAAAAAACAAAAATTCACATCTTGTGTAATAATCTTTAAATTAAATTAGGTGTTTTCCGTCGTTAATTGTTGAGAAAATGATCACATTTTTGTATGCAATTGCAGGGATTAAAATGATTGAAAAGTTTCCTGTTTTAATCGTTACGTAAAAATTTTGTGATGTCATTACGTTACGTAAAATTACGTACGTTAAATTGATGTGGATCAATTTTTCAAATATTTTTCGACAGTTATTGTTCAAATATTTTTTAACTGTTAATTTTTTACAAAACGATTTAAGCAAGAATCAATTTTTATCTCTAACCAAGCTAGTCTCTGAGTTAATTTAAGTTAAAATTTGAAAAAAGAAATGATTGAACTTTCCCATTTGCTAGAAAATGGATGTTAAGGAACTAGAGTTCATTCAAAAAATTCATAATAAATTATATATGAAGTGATAAACAAAAAAATAATTAACAAAAACCAATTTTTTTTTCTTATTTATCCCAAATTCAGATTGCGGATGGTCCACAATTAATTAAAATTGTTATTGTACTGCTCATGGCTCATGAATTGAACGAGAATTTCCAAAACGTTGAATATTTTCATCAGTATAATCCACAATTTTACGTTGTTTCTTCCTTGAAAATTGTTTCTGTTTAAAATAAATTTTGAGCATTCCCTTAAAGGTAACGAATGCTAAGCCTCCGAGTAAAGTTCTATGAAGATTGTTCTTAACACTACTAAATAAAACACGTCCAACGATTGATGAAATCGACGGCAATAGAAGAGCACCGCATAAGACTCGAGTCGTCGACAATGTATCAGAAATATTACGAGAAATTTGATTATTGTCTTGCTGGGAATTATTCTCACTGTCTTCAGGAATCGGAAGAATTAATCCCAACATACGAAAGTTTTTCCTTTGACGATTTTGTAAGTAACGAAGAATTGCTTCCTCCCATCTAATCATACGTCCTAAGACTAAACAAACGGGTATGGCTGGAAGAGCTACCATTAAGAAAATGTGATCTGTGTCTTCTAGTATTCTAAGTCCTTCCTCATGTCCAACAACTTGAAGAACTAAAATGAAGAAATAATAAAGCGATGTCATTAATAATTTTGTTCGATTCATATAAAGCTATAGAAGATAAATGTTTGTTTAATACCTTTTATCATTATTTTATCGATAGAAAAGTATTTTTAAGGATTCATATTAGGAAGAGAAATTAACGGTGAAAAAATATTCGAAAAATAACTGTCGAAAAATATTTGAAAATAACTGTCGAAAAAGGTTTGAAAAAAACTGTCGAAAAAGGTTTGAAAAAAACTGTCGAACAAGGTTTGAAAAATAACGGTTAAAAATATGATTCCAACTCCTTAAAAAATTATTAATTAATCCCCTCATAATTCCAGATGGGCGATTCTCCAGATAGGTTGAATTTTTAAAAACAGAACTGTAATTCCACTGCTACTTGAAATTTTTAAATTTTTGAAATACGTTGGGAAAAATGTAAACAAAGACTTGTTTACAAAAATAAAATTTTGTTTTAATTTATAAAAATCATTTTTTTATATGTTTTAATTAAACAAAAGGTAATTAATAATTAATATTGCACTCAATCATCATCGTTTCTTTTAAAAATATTCCATTTAAATTTATAACGTATTTGAAAAATTTGAATCTCACAAATTAGTTTCAAGCGCTTTAAAAATTACTCGAAGACAAAATTTTCATCAAAAGAATTGAATTTTCTTGTGAAATTTGTATTAAGCTTAATAAAATTGTTGTCATTTATGATAAAGTAGTTCGTTTTCTATCGATTGGTATTTATATCATATGTCAATGAATAGTTTTTAATACTTAATTTTTGATTATAAAAATCCAAATTCCATATTTTGTCTTCGAGAAATCGTCCGAAGAATCGAAATATTTCCTTAATTAGAGTATATTGAAAGCATTTAATTATACAGATTTGTAGAGTTTAAAAAGTTGTACAATATTAATTTGTCTTTCGAGGCTCTCTAATGGAAAAAAATTATAAAAAATTCATTTTAGTGGTGGTTTTTTGAAAATTTTTATCTGGAGAATCGCCCAGATATCAAAAAATAAATTAAGCATGAAAAATTGCGCATTTTTAAAATTAGAATTACTGCAGTAAATGAATAGCAATTTGCTTATTTGAAGGAATTATTGAATGTATTTCTGGTGGCAAGAAATAAATTAATTCAAGCTTATTATGCAAATGAGGGATTTAATTGCTTTTACTTGTAATAGGTGAATTAAAGGTTTACGGTAGTGATCACAGGCTAGAGACAATTTTGAAGTTATTTAAAAATTTTAAAGTGTCGATTTTACGTTAAAAATACGTACGTAATTTTGGTTACGCACGTATTTTGATCTACGTAACACGTACGTATTTTGGTTACGTTTTACGTACGTACTTTTTGAATTTTACGTTACTGTTCATTAAAAGCATTCAATTTAATCTTTGCTTATTTAGCCTTCAAATCACAGTCCGATCCATTAAATTCTCCCCAAAACTTTCATTTATCATCCCATCAGTCATTTGACACAGAATTCACCGAACAAAGTATCAGATTTATCGTTATCAATTAGCACATTGCACATAGCACTTTGCAAAGATATCAGATAATTACTACAATTAAAGCTTTAAATCAACTTAAATCACATCAATTTGAGTCTAATTTTGGACACTGCAATTTATAATTTATTCATGGCATCCATAAATGTCAAAAATAGCTTGCAAAATTGCCATACGTGTCTAAAATCACATGCGATGAACTAAATCGATAGCTTTCATAAGAAACCGAAGATCATAATAGCAAAATCAATGTTTCAACATCCTTGAAGCAAGGCAAAGCCTGAACTTTATATTGTGAAGGTCATACATGCAAAACTTACTAGTTATGGCACCGTAAGTAACGGCTGTCCAATAAAACGACCCGACAAAGATTCCAGCAGCAATAAAAGGCGAGGAACGTCTTATAACGTTATCAATTCCTTCTAGAAGATCTGCTAGGACTCCCATATTTGGCAACACAATAATATATTCAGTTTGGCATTGTTGACATTGGACACGCTTAAAGCTATTTCCTTTCTGTTTCTCATCGACCCAACGTTGTAAGCAGTTTTGATGTACCCATTTTAATGTTCCTTTACCTGGAAATAATAAACAAAGAGAAGGTAAGTATAACAAGTTATTGGACATGCAATATGCTACTTATGTCACAATAATTCAAACTTACAATTACATGGCTTAATCCATTCATGTCCTGCCGAATCCTCATCTTCTTCTGTTGCAAAACATACCCAACAATACCTTTGAAGTGCCGGTTGTGGTTGAGGCTGGATGTTTGGAGATCCAGTTGAAATATTTCTTGGCGCTAATGAAATTGACAAGATTCTATCAATTTCCTCATTGCTTTGCACTAATTCGCGATTATCGTTATCATTATCTGTCGCATTTATATGTTCCATGACTCATTAATGTTTATTAATCCCTAAATTCTGGTAGAATAATTAAAATTTCTAAATTCAAAAGAAATATTGCGAAATTTGCCTTATTTTACCTTTAATTTCGTCTCTTTTAACTATCAACTGAATTCGTAGACACCAATGTACAGTATGTATGTGTTCAAATAGATTAATTATAGAAGAAAGTATGTTTACACTTGAAATTTGTAAAATATTTAGATTCTGTTGATTTTAATTCAGATAACAACTTTTATCGATGATGAAAGCTTCCTAATCCGCTGGAAATTGAATGTTTGTTGACCGTTATGCTGTATTTTATTTATATGGCATGCTGATTAGGTTTTGCAGGCTAGAAATTTATATTTTAAGACTCAAAATTTAACGTCTAGAAAATATTCAAAATTTATTGAGTTCAAATTTTGAACTTTTGAATTTGAATTCAAAATGACTGTTAAAGTTTGAATTATAAAAGTTCGTTAAACATTTGAATTTCAAAAGTCAGTTATATTTTACGTACCAAAGAAGAAAAGGAGGACTGAATATGAGCATCTACTAAAGATTCGAACTTTTGTCTGTGCAGGCGTTTTACGTACCAAAAGATAAGCTCAAAATTACAAATTAATTCTGAAAGGTGAATTTCACATTCAATTTGTTTTCGTTATTTTTCTGTTTATTAATAGCAACAAATTAACACAATTCCAATCTGATTTTTCGCACGACTTATGACCAAATTCCTCATAAATCCTAAATAATAATAATAAAATAATTAAAAACTCTTTCTTTTAGTCAAGGTCAACATTAGATGACAGTATGGATGATGTTGAAAATTGCATATTACTATCACTATCACTATCATTTTCCAATTCTTGAAACAGCTGATTAAATAAATCCCCAAATAATCCACCTGATCGCATGTCTTGCTTCTTAACTGGAGCATTAAAATAAAATGTTCCAATTTTCTCCAATTTCTTTTCGTACTCAGAATCACGCGTAAGTGCTGTACGATATAAATCACATAAAGTCGTAAATGCTTGTAATTTCTTGTCATCAATTATGTTTAATAAGAAATAAGCGAAATTAAGGAGCGGTGTTCGGTAAGGTGGTTGAGATGTTCTAATTTTAGGATGAAATTTCGTATAGAACTCAAAAGTCTCAGCGGCTGTACTCTTATCTTTCAATATTAATAAATTCAGCACTACTTGAACGATAATCATATCAATTTCACTATTGTATGCTTTCGTACTATGCTGGATTAAGATTTTAGCACACAAATATCCATTTTTTGATAGTAATGAGTGATATCGTGCCTGCTCATAATTCTCTTCCTTTAACATAATGCGGGCTAAGAGTGTATGTAATGTTGGATTCTTTAAATTTGTTTCCGCTGAACTCCATTTGATTGTTCTTACAATCAGCGTTTCTCGTTCGACAATGTTCTGATCAATTTTCTCGATTATTCCAGCAACATGACAAATCCACTTGTCAAACTCATTTGGATCATCAAATTTATGTTTTGATAGGACTTCGACCAGTAATAATGCTAGATCACTAAAAGATATGATCAATTGATAATTTGTATTGTGGATATACACGTAATTTATTACCTTCCAGACTGAAATTGCTTTTCGTCACTCAATTTTGTTGCTCCATCAAGCAATATTTCAGCTAATTCAATATAACGCTCTTGCTTTAGTAATCTAAAGTATATAGTTCGCCTAAAAAATCAATGACGATGTTTAAATCAAGCATAAATTTCCATTTATATCAAATTTTTATTATCAAAATCTGAATTTTTTAAACTTACCAAAGCTGATGCGACTCATAAAACTTTCTTTCGCTCATATTCTGTTTGATCTTATCAAGTAACTTATCGATTCCTTTCTGTGACATTTCTGTGTATTGTGATGGATTGTTTTTTAATTAAAATAGAAATTTTCTTAAAAGTAAAAATATTTTTTTTTGGAAACTTGACTGAAATGAAATGAAATGAACTCAAATGAATGGAATAAGTAGGTAGATAACTTGTTAATTGGTAAAATCCCCGAAAGATATTAATTCCACGATCCTGCGGGATAATAACCCCGAAAAATGCAAATTTTAATCATGTTCCCTGCGGGAAAAATTATCAAATTATCAAATTATCCTTCCGGGAAGATAATAATCCCACCTATGATTACAAGTGGGATTATTATCTTCCAGGGAGATAATAATTTCACTTACATTTCTAAGTGGGATTATTATCTTTATGGAGCATGATTAAAATTATGGATTAAATTAAAACCAAAAACTTATTTGTCATAGCGGAAAATAATTCCACTTGTATTAATAAGTGGATTTATTATCTAATAGGATTTTCATCCAAAAAAAAATCCCACTTATTAATTTGTCAGTTTCATTATTCCAAAAACTTAAATAAGAAGAAAACATAAATATTGGTTGAATGTTTAAGTTGAAAACTTGGTTTTTTTATGCCTTTTGTAAATTTTCTAAAAGCCTAGAGCCTCAAGAAATTTTGTTTTTGCAAATAGTTTTGAAATGAAAGTCTATCAAAATTTAAAACGTGCGGAACTAATAAAACCAATTTTTTTTCCATTTTTGACATTGGCAAAATTTGAATTAATGTGAGACTGATCATAGAGGATGGAGGGTTTTTTGCTTCTTTGAAAGCAATGGCTCTTTCTATCTTACCCAGAAAAATACAGCCTTATCCTTTTTAAAGCACAAGAATCAAATGATTAAATTAGAAGTCTCTAAGATGCCTCGATATTGAGATTTTTGCTGATTGACTTGCTTTCTTGCTTGTTTGCTTACAGAAAGCGTATAATGCGATTTTCTCATCAATGATACAGTCAATTTAAATTCTGTTTTTTGCCATTTGGTTCTTTTTCTCAAAATGCGAAAAACTGTTTTTCAAACTGAACAAAAATAAATTGAATGCGGACCTCAATCTAAAAATCCCTAAAATGCAGATAGAACTGCCAAGATGCAGTTGGTACTGCTAAAGTGCAGATGAAATTTATTTTCCCTTAAATGCAGATGAAATGCTGTTGGTTTAAAAAGGTATAATGCAGATAATTTTTATCGTATAAAGTGCAGATAAGATGCTGACCAAATATAGATCGTATAATTTTAATAAAATACATCAATATTCAATAATTTTTTTCTTGGTGCGTGTTAATCAAGTGTAAATGACTTTAAATGATCCGTGATGATCATTTGATTCTTTTCTCTTCTTATGATAGACTTAAATTTAAGGGTTATTGTTTTGTCTGACGACATATTTATGTATATATAACGTAATTTAAAGTTATAAAGTTTGCAATGTATTCAAAAATGCATTTTTGTTTTCCTGTAACTTTTTTAACAACAAAACTAGTGTATCGGGTAGTAACCCAATGCGGATATATTCGCACCGTACCATCAAAAGTCTTGCGGAAAGACCAAGATTTGCTCAGTATTAATTTGAAAGTGTAAATCCTGACGAACCAGCTGAGCTGCGCTCAGCATATATTTGAAGGTTTAAAGCTTAACGGACATTCTTTAAAAGTTTTTAAAAAAATTTTTTCATCTAAAGTTTAATTTAAAAAAATCACAGTGAACTTTTGTTTTTGAAAAATTCGTAAGAAAGGAAAGTTTTTTGCTTTTTCTGAAGCAACGGCTGTTCCTACCTTGCCCAAAAACAATACAGCTCATCTATAGAGCAGCACGGATCAAATGTATAAAACTAGAAGTCTCTACGAGGTCTCGTTATTGAGATTTCTTGCTGATTAACTTGCTTGCTTGCTTACAGAAAGCATATTTTGCGATTTTCTCATCAATGCCACAACCAATTTGAAATCTGATTTTTGCTAAAGATGTAAAATTTCAGGCACAAACTTTAGTTCTGGGACTTTTTATATTCACACCGTTTTCACGTGTGAATCTATTGGTTTTGTTCAGATTGAAAAATCAGTTTTTCGCATTTTGTGAGAAAACGAAGCAAAATTGGTTATTAAAGGTCCTAAAAGAAAAGTTTGTGCCTGAAATTTTACATCTTTTGCAAAAATCAGATTTCAAATTGATTGAGGCATTGCTGAAAGAATCATAATAAAACAAAAGTTTACTGTGATTTTTATAAAATTCAACTTTGTATGAAAATTTTTTTTAAAAAACTTTTAAAGAATGTTCGTTAAGTTTAAAACGTTCACACATATGCTGAGAGAAGCTCAATTGACACGCTAGCTTTATACCTTCAAACGTATGCTGAGCGATGCTCAGCTGAGCTGCACTTTGAAGGTATAAAGCTAGAAAGTCTATGTTTGAAGATATAAAGCTGGTTCGTCAGGATTTATACCTTCAAACTTATGCTGAACAAATCTCTGTCTATCCATAAGACTTTTGATGGTACGGTGCGAATATATCCGCATTGGGTTTCTACCCGATACACTAGTTTTGTTGTTAAACGACATGTAACATTTTTGCAAGATACATAGATGAGCTCATAAAAAGGATACTCGACCCAATATATACATAAATATGTCATCAGACAAAATAATTACCCTTACATTTCATTATGGATCATTTAAAGTCATTAACACGCATCAAAAAAAAAGTCATCGAATATTGATGTATTTTAATGAAATTATACGATCTACATTTAGGAAACATCTTATCTGCACTTTATACGATAAAAATTATCTGCGTTATACCTTTTTTAAAGCAACAGCATTTCATCTGCATTTTAGGGAAAATAAATTTCATCTGCACTTTAGCAGTACCATCTGCATCTTGGCAGTATTATCTGCATTTTAGGGTAGCTGCATTTTAGGGATTTTTAGATTGAGGTTGATGTTTCAGAGAACAATTTAACAATTTAAAATAATATATTTTAAATAGCAAACGTTCAACCATTACCTATTAATGTTTTCTTCTTATTTAAGTTTTTGGAATAATGAAACTGACAAATTTATAAGTGAGATTTTTTTTGGATGAAAATCCTATTAGATAATAAATTCACTTATTAATACAAGTGGAATTATTTTCCGCTATGACAAATAAGTTTTTGGATTTAATTTAATCCATAATTTTAATCATGTTCCATAAAGATAATAATCCCACTTAGAATAATGTAAGTGAAATTATTATCTCCTACTTGTAATCATAGGTGGGATTATTATCTTCCCGGAAGGATAATCCCGCAGGGAACATATAAAAATTTGCATTTTTCTTGGTTATTATCCCGCAGGATCGTGGAATTAATATCTTTCGGGGATTTTACCCCCCATCTTATTAGAGCATGCCTTACCAATAATTTTAAATTTCAAAAAACCGTTGCACTTTTTTCCTACGAATTTTCAAAATATTAATTAAACTAGACTCTTGAATAGCTAAAAATACTTTTTATTTACATTTTAAAAATGTTAACACAACAACTACAAGGCGATAAAATGAGAAATTGATAGTAAAATCATGTACGTTTAAGAGTTATATGCGTGCACCATGAAATAAAATATCATTTAATTAGGCTGGAACAGAAGCAATAGCTGATTAATTGAGTAATTTAAGCAATTATGTCTTTGAAACGTGATATAAAGAGTACGAAGCTCTTAATGAGGATGAAGAAGGCAATAATGACGATTAAAACGATGAGAATTGGCTTGATGTAGGCATCCTTATCTTCATTCCACATCTGGCTGAATCCAAGTATCATTGTAATCACGGCAAGGATGTAGACAAGAATTCCAGCAAATGAATGGAAGCATTTCAAGACGACAGGCTTAACAGTGTTTCTGAGCTGCATTGCATATTTCGTAAAGACTCCACCAATGGCAGACAACATAGTTAAACTTACAGTAATTAATCCAAAAATACTGTGAGTTGTTTGAAAATGAGATTTTCCTAAATTGTTCTTGTGTGTGAATATACAGATCTGTGCGATTACAAATAAGATCAAGGCACATAATTGAATGATCCAATGTGCTGTGATTCGATTCTGGTGAGACATATTTGTGGTGAGAATACTGCTGTCGGCCATAATTAGAATAGCATTTGACATCAGGATTAGATACTGTAAAATAATTAATAGATTTTAAAGTTTAATTGATTTTCATCATTTTTCACATGCTATGCTAATGCGTAGTTCATTAAAATAGTTTATAGTCAGGTAGAATGCTAGTGGATTTTTGAGGTTGATATATGATCAGATTGAGGTGTGAGATATTTTCAATTTTGTTTTTTTTTTACGCAACAGTTCATGATCATTTTTCAAATTATTTGTTTTGCGAAAAATCCAGAAGGCAATTTCCTCATTTGTGTGACTCAATATTGTTTTGTGAAATCTTTAAAAATGTTAAAATCGGTCTGTTGAATTTTAGTTTTGATAGATTTGAATAAGATTAATTAAATGGAGTTTTGTTGGCTGTTAATGAAGTTGATTGATCATCATTTGAATACTAACTGTCATTGTTTGAATTCAAAAGATGTTATTTTGTATAGTTCTGGTTCAATTTGGTAGCATTTATAGAGTTTTATGTTTAAATCAATTCAAATCCTAATTTTTGAACTTAAAACCTTTTAAATTCTAATTTTTGAACTTAAAATCTTTCAAATTTTAATTTTTGAACTCAAAACCTTTCAAATTTTAATTTTTGAATTCAAAACCTTTCAAATGCTAATTTTTGAACTCAAAACCCTTCAAATTCTAATTTTTGAACTCAAAACCTTTCAAATTCTAATTTTTGAACTCAAAACCTTTCAAATTCTAATTTTTGAACTCAAAAGTTTTCAAATTCTAATTTTTGAACTCAAAACCTTTCAAATTCTAATTTTTGAACTTAAAACCTTTTAAATTCTAATTTTTGAGTCAAAACCTTTCAAATTTTAATTTTTGAATTCAAAACCTTTAAAATTCTAATTTTTGAACTCAAAACCTTTCAAATTCTAATTTTTGAACTTAAAACCTTTCAAATTCTAATTTTTGAATTCAAAACCTTTCAAATTTTAATTTTTGAATTCAAAACCTTTCAATTCTAATTTTTGAACTCAAAACCTTTCAAATTCTAATTTTTGAACTTAAAACCTTTTAAATTCTAATTTTTGAACTTAAAATCTTTCAAATTTTAATTTTTGAACTCAAAACCTTTCGAATTCTAATTTTTGAACTCAAAACCTTTCAAATTCTAATTTTTGAACTCAAAACCTTTCAAATTTTAATTTTTGAATGCAAAACCTTTTAAAATTCTAATTTTTGAATTCAAAACCTTTCAAATGCTAATTTTTGAACTCAAAACCCTTCAAATTTTAATTTTTGAACTCAAAACCTTTCAAATTCTAATTTTTGAACTCAAAAGTTTTCAAATTCTAATTTTTGAACTCAAAACCTTTCAAATTCTAATTTTTGAACTTAAAACCTTTTAAATTCTAATTTTTGAGTCAAAACCTTTCAAATTTTAATTTTTGAATTCAAAACCTTTAAAATTTAAATTTTTGAGTCAAAACCTTTAAAATTTTAATTTTTGAATTCAAAACCCTTCAAATTCTAATTTTTGAACTCAAAACCTTTCAAATTCTAATTTTTGAACTCAAAACCTTTCAAATTCTTATTTTTGAACTCAAAAACTTTCAAATTCTAATTTTTGAACTCAAACCTTTCAAATTCTAAGTTTTGAACTCAAACCTTTCAAATTCTAATTTTTGAACTTAAAACCTTTTAAATTCTAATTTTTGAATTCAAAACCTTTCAAATTTTAATTTTTGAATTCAAAACCTTTCAAATTCTAATTTTTGAACTCAAAGCTGCACAAAAGCTCAAATCAAAACCAAGAATGTTTTATTATTATTTCCAAAATCCATTAAAATGTTTTCTAAAGCACATCCGAAAAATAATTTTCACCGTAATGCAACAGGTGTAATTGCATTTATGCATTTCTTCTACATACCCAGTCAAGCTGATTTTTATTTTCGTCTAGACTCTGCATTTTCTATAATATTTACGTTTAGCATGAAACATGAAGGTTACATCTTTAACAATTATTTTTATTATTACCGATTATTACACAAATGAAGAATGCCGACTATAAAAACAGATAAGATCATCAAAAAGTATGCATTTTATAGCCGCAAAACAAGGAAAAATACTCCTGTTATTTGTAAGCTGTGTTGTTTTATGTCGGTGTACCACGCTAATTGCTGTTATTAACAATGAACAACTATTTATGAGTCACCCTTAACATCTGTAAATAACTCTAAATTCCACAAACACTAAAACTTCTAGAACATTTCATGTCATCTTACCCCAAGCACCATAAATGTTGGATGATACGTAAACAAAACAACTCCAATGTCATTAACAATTCGTCCAATAATATAGGCGGAAACGCCCAAAATTATGATCAGAATTGCCATATTCAGGTACTTTGCAGTCGACGTCATTTCCTTCTTCGCTCTGATTCCACTTTCACTTTCAATTGACATGATTCAAATTTTTTTTTAAGTTTTACTGCTGCTCGATAATTAAAATTTCACAATTTAGGATTCAATTTTGAGATTATTAAGATACTGCGAGTCACTTTTGAGGTAGTCAAGCTTAATCAACGTGAATTAATAAACTCTATAAAGGTATGTAAATAAATAAAGTGATGGGAAAAATCACAGATATTCGAGAATGTAAACACTTCTTAACAGTAGAATATAACAGAAGTGACTGAAACGAGTTTAATGGGCAGTGAGGGATTGGAATTTTTGACGAAGATGAGCTTTGAGCTTTTTTTTTAACGAATTTTAAAGATTTGAAACTAAGATCAAAACTGATCTTGGAAATTTAAATTTTTAAAAACCGTTAATTTTGAAAGTTTATATTTTTTAATTTTATAGCTCTAATGAATAGGATTTGTTGCTGTGACAGCTCTATCAATGAATAAATATCTCAAATTCATATTCAGACACCAATAAACAGAGAAACTTGATTTATGAGTTTCGAATTCTTCCCTATTTCGCAATTTGTTTATTTACTGACCAGTTGTTTTGATACTTTGTTGACCTCATCCCACCCTCCTTGTTTTGTGAAAGTTTATCGGAATTCACGACTGTTTGTGATTGAATGGAAATTGAATATTTTTCGCAATAATAAATTCAATGAATAAATTAAGTTAGTTTAATTGCCTGTATTGTATGACTTCACAAGCTTTAAAGGAAGTCATGGCATTGCTATGGAAATAAAAGAAGTTTGTTTATTTCTCTATAATGTTATTTGAGGTAATTACGAACATTATTGACATAATTAGTATGCTGAAGATGAAGCATGTACAGAGTGTGATTAAAATAGATTTTTTCGATGTAATTCATGCCTGTATGTAACTTCTGAATGGTTGTTCTGTGTATTATGTTCTTTAATTTATTTCTAGAAGTTCTGGGCAGTAAATTTTCAGGAATATTGTTGGATACGGAAGGGGAAACTGGGTCAGAATGGTCATAAATTAATTCCAATAATCCCAAATGCAGGTTGTGGATCTATGCTTGAGCAATTTTGTAGTTTTTATTTTTTGTACATAAATTAAGAGCAAAAATAGACGTTAGAAAGGGATAGATTTGTGCTAAACATTCTGTCAAGGCTCAGACAAAATGTTATGTTTTCATGGATAGGGTTTAGGCTTGTGTGACTCTGCTGTTAAGTAATAAACGTAAAATCAGCACGTTATGGGCCAGAAATGGAAAATTTTTCCAAAAATTATTTTTACAGCTTATATGATAGTCCTTATTTTTCCCAACATTTACGTCCTTAAAACTTTGTCCAAGTCGACAGCATGTCCGAGATATGGCACTTCAAAGTTGGTCAAACGACCATTTTCACGTTACATTGAAAATGCTCTCACCAGATACTGGATGGATGAATCTCCTTCAATTTTTTTTTGTTAATAGCATTAAATAGTTCCTTTATTTTAACATATAAACAATTGCAAATAACTTTGGAAAATTTTGTGAAAAACTTGATTTTTCTCAAAAACCACGTGTTCGTCATACTTTCGTTTGTCTAGGTCTTCACAATCACAACTAAAGTTACTAATTTCTTTTTTATATTGAAGATTACGCCAAAAGCTTATTTTGACAAAAATCGATGTAGTGCTTCAGGGAATTTTTTTTTTTCAGGGTCGCCCCTAGTCCAAAATTGAAAATGTATTTCCTACTTGGTTCTTTGCTCAAAAAAATTTTAGGATGTTTTATTTGTATTTGTTTTAAGCACAAGAATATTTATGCAAAGTTTCAATCCATTTGGATAAACCATCGAAGAAAAAAGTGACAAAATTTATTTTGACTAGGGTCGCCCCTAGTCCAAAACTGAAAATGTATTTCCTACTTGGTCCTTTACTCAAAAAATTTTTTGGATGTTTTATTTGTATTTGTTTTAAGCACTTAAATATGTATGCAAAGTTTCAATCCATTTGGATAAACCATCGAAGAAAAAAGTGAGAAAATTGATTTTGACTAGGGTCGCCCCTAGTCCAAAATTGAAAATGTATTTCCTACTTGGTCCTTTACTCAAAAAAATTTTAGGATGTTTTATTTGTATTTGTTTTAAACACTTAAATATTTATGCAAAGTTTCAATCCATTTGGATAAACCATTGAAGAAAAAAGTGAGAAAATTGATTTTGACTAGGGTCGCCCCTAGTCCAAAATTGAAAATGTATTTCCTACTTGGTTCTTTGCTCAAAAAAATTTTAGGATGTTTTATTTGTATTTGTTTTGAGCACAAGAATATTTATGCAAAGTTTCAATCCATTTGGATAAACCATCGAAGAAAAAAGTGAGAAAATTGATTTTGACTAGGGTCGCCCCTAGTCCAAAACTGAAAATGTATTTCCTACTTGGTCCTTTACTCAAAAAAATTTTAGGATGTTTTATTTGTATTTGTTTTAAACACTTAAATATTTATGCAAAGTTTCAATCCATTTGGATAAACCATTGAAGAAAAAAGTGAGAAAATTGATTTTGACTAGGGTCGCCCCTAGTCCAAAATTGAAAATGTATTTCCTACTTGGTTCTTTGCTCAAAAAAATTTTAGGATGTTTTATTTGTATTTGTTTTAAGCACAAAAATATTTATGCAAAGTTTCAATCCATTTGGATAAACCATCGAAGAAAAAAGTGACAAAATTTATTTTGACTAGGGTCGCCCCTAGTCCAAAACTGAAAATGTATTTCCTACTTGGTCCTTTACTCAAAAAATTTTTAGAATGTTTTATTTGTATTTGTTTTAAGCACTAGAATATTTATGCAAAGTTTCAATCCATTTTGATAAACCATCGAAGAAAAAAGTGAGAAAATTGATTTTGACTAGGGTCGCCCCTAGTCCAAAATTGAAAATGTATTTCCTACTTGGTTCTTTGCTCAAAAAAATTTTAGGATGTTTTATTTGTATTTGTTTTAAGCACAAGAATATTTATGCAAAGTTTCAATCCATTTGTATAAACCATCGAAGAAAAAAGTGACAAAATTGATTTTGACTAGGGTTGCCCCTAGTCCAAAACTGAAAATGTATTTCCTACTTGGTCCTTTACTCAAAAAATTTTTACGATGTTTTATTTGTATTTGTTTTAAGCACTAGAATATTTATGCAAAGTTTCAATCCATTTTGATAAACCATCGAAAAAAAAAGTGAGAAAATTGATTTTGACTAGGGTCGCCCCTAGTCCAAAATTGAAAATGTATTTCCTACTTGGTTCTTTGCTCAAAAAAATTTTAGGATGTTTTATTTGTATTTGTTTTAAGCACAAGAATATTTATGCAAAGTTTCAATCCATTTGGATAAACCATCGAAGAAAAAAGTGACAAAATTGATTTTGACTAGGGTCGCCCCTAGTCCAAAACTGAAAATGTATTTCCTACTTGGTCCTTTACTCAAAAAATTTTTAGGATGTTTTATTTGTATTTGTTTTAAGCACTAGAATATTTATGCAAAGTTTCAATCCATTTGGATAAACCATCGAAGAAAAAAGTGACAAAATTGATTTTGACTAGGGTTGCCCCTAGTCCAAAACTGAAAATGTATTTCCTACTTGGTCCTTTACTCAAAAAATTTTTAGGATGTTTTATTTGTATTTGTTTTAAGCACTAGAATATTTATGCAAAGTTTCAATCCATTTTGATAAACCATCGAAGAAAAAAGTGAGAAAATTGATTTTGACTAGGGTCGCCCCTAGTCCAAAATTGAAAATGTATTTCCTACTTGGTTCTTTGCTCAAAAAAATTTTAAGATGTTTTATTTGTATTTGTTTTAAGCACTAGAATATTTATGCAAAGTTTCAATCTATTTGGATAAACCCTCGAAGAAAAAAGTGACAAAATTGATTTTGACTAAGGTCGCCCCTAGTCCAAAATTGAAAATGTATTTTCTACTTGGTTCTTTGCTCAAAAAAATTTTAGAATGTTTTATTTGTATTTGTTTTAAGCACTAGAATATTTATGCAAAGTTTCAATCCATTTGTATAAACCCTCGAAGAAAAAAGTGACAAAATTGATTTTGACAAGGGTCGCCCCTAGTCCAAAATTGAAAATGTATTTCCTACTTGGTTCTTTGCTTAAAAAAATTTTAGGATGTTTTATTTGTATTTGTTTTAAGCACAAGAATATTTATGCAAAGTTTCAATCCATTTGGATAAACCATCGAAGAAAAAAGTGACAAAATTGATTTTGACTAGGGTCGCCCCTAGTCCAAAACTGAAAATGTATTTCCTACTTGGTCCTTTACTCAAAAAATTTTTAGGATATTTTATTTGTATTTGTTTTAAGCACTAGAATATTTATGCAATGTTTCAATCTATTTGGATAAACCCTCGAAGAAAAAAGTGACAAAATTGATTTTGACAAGGGTCGCCCCTAGTCCAAAATTGAAAATGTATTTCCTACTTGGTTCTTTGCTTAAAAAAATTTTAGGATGTTTTATTTGTATTTGTTTTAAGCACAAGAATATTTATGCAAAGTTTCAATCCATTTGGATAAACCATCGAAGAAAAAAGTGACAAAATTGATTTTGACTAGGGTCGCCCCTAGTCCAAAACTGAAAATGTATTTCCTACTTGGTCCTTTACTCAAAAAATTTTTAGGATGTTTTATTTGTATTTGTTTTAAGCACTAGAATATTTATGCAATGTTTCAATCCATTTTGATAAACCATCGAAGAAAAAAGTGAGAAAATTGATTTTGACTAGGGTCGCCCCTAGTCCAAAATTGAAAATGTATTTCCTACTTGGTTCTTTGCACAAAAAAATTTTAGGATGTTTTATTTGTATTTGTTTTAAGCGCTTGAATATTTATGCAAAGTTTCAATCCATTTTGATAAACCATCGAAGAAAAAAGTGAGAAAATTGATTTTGACTAGGGTCGCCCCTAGTCCAAAATTGAAAATGTATTTCCTACTTGGTTCTTTGCTCAAAAAAATTTTAGGATGTTTTATTTGTATTTGTTTTAAGCACAAGAA